TTAACAAGTAATTGTATTTTGTAATTTGAGAATCTGACAGATTCATGACAGCCGATCATTGTTTTTCCTAAGAACTCACCTTAGTTTTCTGTCAACACTGCCGATGCCGGCTACGGCAGGTTGATGCTATTATGGCAAAATGAATAATAAGGGCGGTAATGTCAGTCGCTCCTACATATTATAGGACGCCTTTATGACCTCCTTGATTTTCATAGTAATTTCTCTCCTTCCGAAAGGCTAAGGATTTCTAGATTTCTACTGTTCCATATCAGCTTCAGCGCTCTCCTATTGTGAAGCCATGTTTTCTTTTCAAATTGTAGGAATTTTCTGGTTGATAAAACAGATGATATGAATCAAAAGCATGAACAATTTGATGCAAATAGATATTTGTGACATAACTTCAAAATAGAGAGCTGACACGTACCAGTAAAAAACTATGAAAATGAAGGAGGCCATAAAGGCGTCCTACAATTGTAGGAACGACTAACGATGCAGCCCTAAGGTAATTGATGTGTTTTTTTCTGAAACACTTTTAACTAAAATATCGTTTAGGTGCCCACAAATTAGCAACCATGTGCGTCATACACTTTTTTCATACATGTGTGACATACATGTATGTCAATAGATTTTAGGTGCCCACAAATTAGCAACCATGTGCGTCATACACTTTTTTCATACATGTGTGACATACATGTATGTCAATAGATTTTGAGCCCAGACCTGCATACAAGATTGTTAAGCAAGTTAGTTTGAAAGTGCATAATGAGCAGTGAAGACGAGTACATTCTATTGGCAGCGGCGTACGCTGCTTTAATTAAAAAGAAAACAAATAGATTAGTTAAAAAGCCACCTATCCGGAAGAAATGGGTAAAGGAATGGCTTTTAAAACGCCCACAATATACCCATATTAGTCTGCTAGAAGAACTACGTTTAGAACCTGACGATTGGCGAAATTACCTGAGGAAGAAAGCTACTCAACGCTACTAACCTTAGTGTCTCCATTAATTGTAAAACAGGACACGATTTTGAGGTCTTCAATTTCGCCACATGAGCGATTAACAGCCACTCTTCGCTATTTAGCAACAGGAAGAAATTACGAAGATTTAAAGTTTTCAACTTTAATTTCTCCTCAGTCGTTAGGTAAAATAATACCGGAGACCTGTCGAGCAATATTTGAGGTATTGAAAAACGAGTATATGAAGGTAAGAAAAATATGTGCATGTTTTTAGTATATTGCATTTATTATTATGAGTATAATATACAATGTTTACTTTAACATAAAAAAATATAGTCAGCAAAACTTTAATAATAAGAAAACACGAAAACCTAAAACAAAAATCATGACAAAACCTAGAACCTGAACTAATGAATTCAAACTAAACTGATGTGATAAAAACTGAAACCACAATGAAGTAATACTCGTTTTTTTCTAATACAAAACTAATAAGCCAACTGTTGGCTTTCGTTTTTGTTGGTGATGAAGCGTTCACCCTTCGACAACATCTTTTGAAGCCATTCAGTCGCAGAGATTTGAATAACGAAAAAAAAAAAATTTTCAATTATCGTCTATCGCGGGCTAGAAGTAAAGTTGAGAATGCGTTTGGAATATTGTCTAATCGATTTAGAATATTTCACACAGCAATTTCTGTTAATTTAGAAGCAATTGATAGCATTGTTATGGCAACCTGTGTTTTGCATAACTACTTAAGCAGAAGATGTGCGACTGTATATGCACCACATAATAATATGTACACAGAAAATACAAGTACCGGCACTATTGAACTGGATGAACAACCAACTAATTTAATTCGTTTACAACAAAGTCTCAACCAAAGAGTCAACAACGAGGCAAAACAAGTCGGAGAGTTGTACATGCATTATTTTAATAACGAGGACGCAGTGGAATAGCAACGAAAGATGGTGTATTAATTCCATGTAATGTAGTAAATAGTATTTTTAACAAATAAATTTGTATTGCAATAACTAGATTGTACTTTTCTTACCTCATCTTCATTATTAGCATCTTGTTCGCTTTCACCTTCCTGATTCTCAACCAAATTGCTGACCGATTCTCGAGGCATTTCTTGATCTTTTGTAAATAGCAATAAATCATAATACCATAAATGTGTGTTGTATATTTCATCTGACCCTCTGCCTGACCGTTTTGAATGTTCTATTTTCTTCATTTCTCTTCTAAAGCTACCGTGGATGCTATTTATTTTAGCTTTCACACACTGTTTTGTACTATTTGGCTCAATTTCTTGTAACTTTTTCAATAAAACTAAATAAGCTGCATCTTTCTTATTTCGATCCTTGTAATCATCACTTTTAGTTTTCCATAAACAAGGATAACCTTTGTAAAGTTCAATAAAATCCGCCAAAAAGGCTTTTGTAAAGTGTCTTACATCAGACATTGTCAAAAGCGACGACAAACTGATAATAAACACGCGAGACACTGTACCCAAAATGCATGCGTGAAGAAGACACACACCGACAATCTTGTTTGCAAATTCATGTTTGCGCGTTGATGAATTCCGACTAGTCTGGAAAACTTGTACGACGCACATGCTTGTGGCTTTTGCACCACACACCGGCAACCATCAACGCGCAAACGTGGTTGACATACATGTATGACGCACATGGTTGCTAATTTGTGGGCACCTTTTGAGTGGTATCAAATTGTGGGTAAAAAATTCTCTTTTTAGCTGTGAGCCACCGTCGCGTCGGTCCATTCGAAAAAAGGCTATAAATAACAAAAGACAATCTATTTTTCTGTGAATGCTTAGTCCAAAGTTTACCATTTTATCATATTTATGACACACTGGATTGAAAATTAAAAATTACAAATATGCAACGCAAATGCAGCGTCATTGTACTCGGAATGTCATTTTCTATTCAAATAAGCAAAAATATACCGGGTGACCCATTTAAACCAACAAGTTCGTCATTTCCTGCTATCTCTACATAAAAGTTAGGCACATGGTAATGTCGCAGCGCAATGGCGGTCGGTCTTTCTGGACCCTGACCAAGCAGATTAAAAAGAACTTCTCACACATTACCCTTCCACCACTTACGTGTCAGGATGGAACGATTCTATCCGACTCAAAAGCCCAGGCGGAAGTGCTTGCCAACATCTTTGCTGCCAACTCCACCATGGACGTCCCCTCCAACGCCCAAGTGCCCGTCAATTCAAAGGGTCCCTAACACTATGCGAGAGGTAACATTCAGACAAAAGACCGTAAGACGAGTGCTCTTGTCGCTCGACAGCAACAAAGCTTCTGGTCCGGACTTGATTGTACTGAAGAGGTGTGCAGCGGAGCTTGCTCCAGTTCTTTCGCGTCTCTTCCAGATATCTTATGAATCCGGCACCTTCCCAGAAAACTGGAAATTTGCTCATGTCCAGCCCATCCCAAAAAAAGGATCTAAGACCGACCCTTACAACTACAGGCCTATAGCTCTGCTTTCTGTTATAAGTAAAGTGATGGAGAGGTGGATAAATCGCGAGCTTCTGGACTACCTCGAACATCACAGCTTGATTAGCGACAGGCAGTACGGTTTCCGGCACCAACGATCCACAGGGGACCTCCTAGCTTACGTCACGTAATTGTGGAGTAAACTCATCCAGTCTCATGGTGAGGCTCATGTCGTTGCTCTTGACATCACGAAAGCGTTCGATCAGCTGTGGCACGCTGTCCTCTTAAGCAAACTTCCATCCTATGGCCTCCCAGAAAAACTTTGCAGATGGATGGCTGACTTTATTTCTGGCGGCAAGATATCCGTCGTAATTGACGGGCGCTCCTCTTCATCCCACAACATCAACGCGGATGTTCCCCAGGGATCGGTCTTGGCTCCGACACGGTTCCTCTTACATATCAACGACCTTTCCTGCACGATCAACCCAATCCACAGCTTCGCTGGTGACAGCACTCTATATGCAGGAATTCAGAGTGACAAGCCGATCTCTGCCGCTGAGCTGGAAAAAAGAAGAATAGCGACGACTTCCTCTCTGACGCCAGACCTGGAGGTTATTACTGCTTGGGGACGCAACAATCTTGTACAGTTTAATGCTTCCAAAACACAGTACTGTACCTTGACGAACAAAAAGCGTCCTAGCGCTCATCCGGTTTCGATGGATGGCCGAGTTCTGCCAAAGAGTAATTCATTTCGGATGGTCTTAGTCCAGATCACCGAGGACCTAATCTGGTACGAACACATCTCTTCAATAGCGGCAGCTGCTGGGAAAAAGCTAGCCTATTTGGTTAGGGCTACGAAGTACTTTTCTCCCCATGACCTTCTCACTCTATACAAGGCCCAGATAAGGCCTAGCCTAGAGTATTGCTCACACGTGCTGCCGCCCCGACTACATTATCCATGCTCGATGCTGTCCAGAGGAGGGCTGTTCGACTGATCGATGACTCTTCTCTAACAGACAGTCTCGGGATCCTTTCGCACCGGCGGGCCGTTGGCGATCTAGCTCTCTTCTACCGCTACAGAAACGGGCTTTGCTCATCAGAGCTCTCTTCCATGATAACCGTGTCGAACTTTGCACATCCAGAACTGGCCGATACGACCGCTCCTTTGTCCCGAGGGTGTCTAGATTGTGGAACAATCTACAAGAGGAAGCTTTTCCCAGGTCCACTAACCTTACGCAGTTCAAAAGTCGGATTAACAAAATTTCTTTGGGATCATCATAGCAGTCGCGGTGTCCCGGTATTTAGGCTTCTGCCTTCGCGGCTGCTTTGGTATAAGAAAAATACTTAATTACATTTATGTATCTTTGAAAATAAAAAAGTTGTAGGGATGAGCCACCTGCTAGGGACACCCGGTATACAATGTACATGTGAGATCTGACATATTATTTTATTATGTATCTGAGAGACATCATAGCATCAACATACTCATCAACTGTTGTTCCAGACAATCCTATCCCTCATTCTGGCCAGGTCAAGACAGTGGTGCAGAGTAATAAAAAAGTGAAATTTTATTAAGACTTGTTTCAGGTGTATGTTGATCAAATGGACCCAGACATAGTGGCTGTAACAAGACATTGTCCAGAAACGCATCAGAGCTTTATTCTAGTAGCGTTTACAGCCTTCAGACACCCAACAGAGGATACTGATAAATATCAGAGAGGTATTAAGCCACTTAGGTTTGAAGGTGTGCTGGAAGAAATCGTTTTGGAAGCCAGTTTAAGTCATGTTGGAAGCAGGTATGAATCAACTTTATAGAATATTTCTTGTTTTTTTTTTCGCATGAGGTTAGGCTATACTACCATAGTCAGGTAGTTTTAAATTTTGACTCCAATACATTTCTTTTATGATTAAAATAAATTACAAAATCCTCGTATTTAATTGATCACGTTATTTAACAAAAATAGTTATTTTTTCACTTTGTCAAATATTTCATATTAATTATATTTCCTAATCATAAAAGCAGTAAATCAATTTATCAAAATAAAAAGCAGTAACTTTCGAACTACACTGCGTTTATTCTCTTTATGACACAAGTACTATCTCTTTATCCTTTAAAACCAATTATGATAATTACTTTTTTTATGTAGTATGTAGTAATTCTATTATTTATGAATACGTATTTATCGTTATAGGTGTAAATAATTTTTGCTCCGAAAAAATAATTTTGAAAAATATTCTCCTTCGTTTAACTTACGATGTATGAAGAAATGCATGTAGTTTATTTATATAATTATTTTTGTTGAATGTTATTATTGAATGTAATTATATAACTATTAAACTGAATTATTAGATGTTGAAAAGTTTTGGTATTTGTGCTATTCTTAGGTGAATTTAAATATGAATAAATTATATTAAAATAATATCTGCAAACTGCAAAGAATAATATAAGTAGATTATGAAAACTACGAAAAAGGCAGGGTATAAAAGCAGTAAACCACATGTTATTGTTTTGGTTTAAGACAATTAAAGACAGTATGTCTGCACTTGACTGTATGAAAATCAGTTTCCAGATGGAAGTGTTGCATACACTTTCAAAATTTCATAGCGTGTCTTTGAATTATTTGAGAAAAAAATAAACAGCTCAAAATCCAACAACAACAACAACAGTACCGAAATCACTACTAAACACTTGCTGAAATACTGAATCGAAATTATGGGATATTGTGTATTAAATTGGATCAATTGTTCACTGAGAAGGAGTTCTTTGCCTGAAAATTTGCTCTACAATAACACCAGTTCCCAAAATAAAAAATTATAAAAGATGTAGTGCATGACCAATTAATGTAGGTTATAGAAGAAAACAAAATTTTAGTGGCTGCGCAAGCAGGCTTTTGCAAAAAATATTCCACAGAAAGGGCTTTCCAGTTACTGAGAATTGAAGAAGAGCCATAGACTCGGAAGAAGTTGTCATTGCAGTATTTTTGGGTTTGAAGAAGGCATTTGAAACTATTGACATAAATATTTTGTAAGGTAAATTGAAGGCATCTAGTATATCAGGAAGAGTTTAAGATTGGTTTAAAAATAATTTTTCTAGAAGGATGCAAGTTTCAAAAGCTAATGACACTATTTTATCAAAAATTGAAAATATGTTAGGTGTTCCACTTCTTTTTATTTTATGCATAAATGATTTGCTTGCCATAGGTAAAAATTGCAAAATTCAGATTTTCGCCGATGACACTATGATTTATATAAGTACTAAAAATATTCAGAACTGGTTTTTCTTACATGAATGAAGATTGACACTTGTTTCAAAATGGTTAGCATCTAACTGACTCAAATCAAATACAAGTAAAACGAAAGCTATGTCAATCGAAAAAAAAAAACAATGTACAAATGTTCAAGTAAGTATTGATGGTGAAGATATTGAATTTATAGAGAATTTTAAATACCTTCGGATTTTTGTTGACTCTCGATTAACTTTTGATATTCATTATGAAAAATTTATAAATAAGAATAGTAGTAATGTGGGACATTTATCAAGAGTTTCTGGATCTCTGAGTTCATATAGCAGAAAAATTATCTGTAATACTATCATTCTTCCAAATTTCTTGTACTGTTCGACTTTTCTATATTTAGCAAATAATTCCATTTTTGAAAGACTGCAAATTTTACAAAACAAGTGCATGAGAATAATACTGAATAAAGATAAATATACTCCAATTAGACAAATGCTTAGCAAATTAAAATGGCTCAATGTAAACAAATCTATTAAATATCTTGTAATGATATTCAAAAAATGATATATTTCCAAAATGTCTTACTAATTTAACATCATCAAATGCCTACCATCATTTACATAATACCAGAATAATACCAGAAATAAAGATGACTTCCATTTGATGACCAAAAAGTATAACATATGCTACAAATCTGTATTCCATCAAGGGTTGATTGAAAACAATAAATCATATACCGAGATAAAAGACCAAAGTAAAATTGAGGAATCACTTGTTAAATCTACAATTATAGCTTGCCCAGCATTTACATCAAATGGCTTAAATTTACTAATTCTAAGTTGTTTACAATTATTCTCCTAAATAAATCTTTCTACTACTACTACCACTACTACTATTACTAATTTATTTTAGTCCTCGATAACAATTGTGATATGAAAAAACATTTAAATGACTCTCTATAATTGTAACTTTGAAATATTCATTCACTTTTGTGAAGATTTTCAAATGATGATTTTAGCTCATTGACCGGGATGTCCTTCAAAATGGTCGTCGTCCAAAAGGGATGGCCTCTACGTCGGCATACCGCAGAAAATAATCACACGTTGCCATATCAGGAGAATATGGGGAGTGGTTGATAGTTAAAATGCCATTTTTTGTCAAAAAACCGGACACAAACGTCGATGATGCAACAAGAGCCAGCTTCCTTCTTCGCGATATTCTGGCCGAACATGACGAATACGGGACAGCAAACCTCTCATAATACCAAGATAAAACATAGCATTAACCGTTTGGCCTGGTAGAACGAATTCTTTTTGAATAATTCTTTTCGAATCGTATTAACCAATCAACATTGTCTTTTCTTTGGACTTTTCCAAACGGCCTTTTTTCAGATTTGGCTGGCTTGGGTGCTTCCATTCGGCACTTTGACACCTGCTTTCGGGATCGTATTGAAAACACCAGGTTTCGTCACCAATCATAGTGTCGTACAGAAGGTTTTTATCTTTTTTGGCCTGTTTCATGATGTTTCTCGAATGTTGAATTCGAAGTAATTTTTGATCATCCGTGAGCTTGTGCGGAACAAACCGTGAATAACTCTTCGAAACTGTTCGAAAAAGTGGTATAAACCTTACATCAAAAAAAAAATTAGTTCCCAAGGAAGGCTATTTAATTATGTTTTCAGATACCATGTATAAATAGAAAGATATTTAGCATTTCTTTTGGGTCAGCATAAAATCGTTGATAATAAAATTATTGTGAACAAAAATTCTAAATATCTTCAAAAATGGCGGAGCTGAGCTGTCAAAATTGGGCATTTTTTCAGACATTTCACTAAATATCTCAATAAATTTCAATCAAAACTGTTATATGATATAAAAATTCTTGTTTTTAGAAGCTCTATCTACACAGGGTGGACCATGAATTAGTTAGCATTTGAAAAAATCGTATGAAAAAAACATTTGACATATTTTAAAAATTGTTTATTCACAAGAAAGCTAATTAGTTGGAATTCATTTCTTGAAAATTATATCATCCACCGTTACGATTTTTGCACTCTTCCAAACGTACCGAAGCTTTCGAATACTCGTCGGCCTAAAGACTGCGAGATCGCCGACATCTCTTCGTTGATGTTTTCTTTTAGTTGGCGGAGTGTACTTGGTTTATTGGTGTAGACACGACTCTTTAAATAACCCCATAAAAAAGTCTGGTGGGGATAGATCTGGACTTCCGGGTGGCCATGGGATGTCGCCTCGACTGGAAAAAAGCTTTTCCGGAAACATTTCTTTGACCACCGGCAGGGATTCGTTGGATGTGTGACACGTGGCTCCATCTTGTTGAAACAATGTGTTACGATTATAGCCAGTAAATTAAAGTAGCATCGGTGCCAAGAACTCCCGTAACATTTTCACATACTCTGCAGAATTAACAGTAACTGAATGGATGCGAGAATCTTCAAAGAAGTAGGGGCCAATGATTTCTTTTGCCGAAATTGCAGCCCATACAGTTACTTTAGGAGAGTAAAGTGGCTTATCGTGTTTAGCTTTGGTACCTGCAATTCTGTTTATTCACATGTCCGTTGAGGTGAAAATGGGCTTTGTCAGAACATAAGAGATTGTAAAATTTTTGAATCGAGCTAACATCGTTTCGGCATACGACTTGCGCAAATTTAAGTCATTAGGTTTTAGTTCCTGCGCCAGCTGGATCTTATATGGATGTAATTTCAAATCTAATCTCAAAATACGGCGTAATAATGTGCGAGATAATCCTTATTCAGCCGAACGTTTGCGCGTCGCTAAATCTGGATCACGTTGAACAGAAGCGTTCTCTTCGCTCCGAGCAGTCTGTAGGCCGCCGGTTTGCTTCACATTCAGTGTAGATCCCGTCTCTTCGAACTTATTTACCCAGTTCTTTATCAAAGGAGTACTCGGACACTGACTTAAGTCGTGTAAATTGTATTCAACGCGAAATAAACGTCTCACAGTAATGAGCGAACTGTTGTTTAAATAAAATTGTTTCACACAGTAAGCGCGTTGCGGCCTCGTGAAGCGATCCATTGCGACTGAATTTCCAAGAAACTTGCTAGCGACTATCCCCCTCCCCGCGCTTCGCGCGGCATCTGTTTGCGAGGGTGTATTAGATTTAAATGCTAACGAATTCTTGAACCATTCTGTATATGCAGTAAAATACAAGGTATTCTATTTGAAAAACCCGCATGTTTGCTATGTATGCACGAAGTTATGGATCACCGTGTATATATTGAAATGATTTTAAAATATGCACCATTTTCGTTGGGATGTATTGTTGATATTAATGTTTTTTAGATCTGGTGGACCCAAGTTCGCGAAATTCAAGGATTTTGTTCAGGATTCCAAGTGGATCAATGGTCTCTCTGAATATACGGCGACTTTGAAAAGGCACATCCAAGTTTCCGATTCTGACATATGTGAAAAAGTGGATTCTGGTACGCCAAACGTTACACAGCTCAATTTCAAGAATTTCAAGCCAGGATCAATTATAGTTGTCAGGTAAGTTACGTCAAAACACTAGTGCAGAAAATTGATATAATACTATTATGAAAAGTATAGCATCTCTATATCTAAATTTCTTCTAGTTTTTCAAAATGTATTTAAAAGTGTGTAAAAATACAATAAAGCAAATTGTGCATTGAACTCATTCAGGTCGTTTGTATTTTCCGTTGGAGGAACCAGACAATGTAATAATTATTCAGGATACCGGTAGATAGATGGATTATACGTTTTAAATCAAAGAGAATCACATTCTAATCAGTGGCGTGAAAAAATTTACGTGATGCTTGAATTTGTTACAACTTTGGCAAGTAAGTTTGTAAAAGACAGTTATGACACATTCCACTCATAGATTAAAATGGTAATAATATCCAATATACATTTTCAGCAGTAGTATATCACGTCGTATCAACTGTCGTCAATTTTTTTTGCTGATAATACCCTATTGGGTGGTGTGGCAATTGAGTTCCGGAGATTTGTTGTTAAAAAAGTCAAACAAATAAGTTATGGGCAGTATTTTATAATCAATTTTCGCAATGATTCCGAGGTTGTCTCCACGCCTGGAAGCACCCTTAGTAATCCACAGAAATACAATTCCATTCAGAACCACGCTTACAGCATCTTTGACCTCCTTCACGCTGCCATGATGAATTCGCTTTAGGTAAGATTTCATCTTGGTGAATATAAAATATCACGGGGAGCAATATCGGAGCTATATTGTGGATGTGGTATCATTGTAATGCCTTTTACTTCCCACGCCTACTGGTGAGGAAGTATTTTAATCGAAAATGAGATGTTTTTTTGGTGGTGTACAGGGTGGCCAACTAAGAATGCGAGGTACTGTATTTGGGAACTTATCCATCGGAGAGGCTTGCGGGAAAAAAGTCCTTACTTAAACGGCCAAGAGAAAAACCTGGAAAATATATTCAAGTTTCGGAAATGCCCGCTAGGTGGCGTCTGCAATCTCTAATCTAAAAAAGTAATGTTTCTGTGAATTCCACTATATTAACCTAAGAAAAAAATACCTGATCTTTAAACTCTAGGGTATTTCTAAAAATCGGCTGAGCCGATTTTAACAAACTTGGGCTAGTTGAAAAGAGCTATTCTTGGACTACCTGTTATAATATTTGTAGTTTTGTTAGGCATGTGGCCGCTAGAGGGCTTTTTTAGACATACCGACAGAAATGGTTAATTTTCTCAAAAAAAAATTAGATGCATTGATATGAGTTTTTTAAGGAAAAAATAGCTAAATGATGTCTAAACAAACTCGGGAAAACCGCATCTCGATAACTTGTTGACCCATAATGCCTATTGTACAGATTGACCTCCGATCAAAGTCTTCCTCTTTCAAGGCCTGATGCAGACATGACATTGGTGAATTCTAAAAGTGACATAATATTTTTTGTGTCCTACCAATGCTTTGCTGTTGACACGTAGGACACAAACTATCATTGGCACATAAGCTCGCCACTAATCGGGGAAAAACTCACATCGCAAAGACGCCGATTTGGATAGTCGCGTAAACTCTTTTTGCTACTGCGGTATTCTGAAGACATTCAAAATAAACTGCAAGCATAACATCAGCTTCATCGTTCATAAAACGCATTTGGCAAGTACAAAAGTTGCTCAAAGTAACGCGAAATTATTGACAATTTGAGGATTATTTATCTTTTGATTAGTAGTCTAATCATATTAGATGAAAATACCCCTGGTTTGCGAAATAATTGTAGTCTGGTTTTATTGCTGCAAGTTGTTCAAGGGGGTATTCAAAACATGGACGCATAAAATGAGTACACCAATTTTTGTAGGAAAACTTTTTATTCGACAACAAAGAATGAGAAAACGTGTTTTTTGGAATTCAATCGAAATTGTTGGCAGGAAGGACAAAACTCTTCATATAAAATTTTAGTTTTTTATGAGACCTACAAAATGAGACCACACATAACCACAACAAAATTGGAGTAGATTGGTCAAGAAGTTCTTGAAAATTTCTAATTGTTTATCCCAAAACACATGTTTTCCGGCCATCACTACTAGTTTATTGAGCCATACACAAGGTTAGTTCAAAGGGCATTTTATAACAAAATAAACTAGTTTACTTTGCCGTTGTGAATCTCAAAGCATTCCGGAAGATAAATGTTACTTTTATGCAAAAAAGTATGGGTCACGTTTTTTCTTCTAAACTAATTCAAACATTTCGTGTTTGTGAGCAATTCGCAACAAAAGATGATAGACACATCCGCTTTGTTTTAAAATATGTACAGTAACGTATGTATTTCGAATATCGTAGCGCATTTGTTCAATTACTCACAAATACGAAATGCTTGAATTATCGTGGCATTAGCAACAAGTGCCAAAACCTGCATTTTGCCTCATTTTTCGACATTAGTCGGATCATAATAACATAACATTTTTGCTATTAGTCGGATCTTTTTACGTGTGGTCTCCTTTGTAGGTCTCATAAATACCTAAAAATCTTATATGAATAGTTTTTTCGTTCCTGTCAACACTTTCGATTGAATCCCAAAAAACACTTTTTCTCATTCTTTGTTGTCAAATAAAAAGTTTTCTCACAAAAATTGGTGAACCCATTTTATGCGTCGTGTTTTAAATGCCCCCTTGAACAACTTAAATAAAACCAGACTTTACAATTATTTCGGGGAAATTTGCTAATATGATTAGACTATAGGTATTTGTTTTGTTATATTCTCTGACCTGCTTCTATTATTTTTTTTTCGTATATACCCATAGTGAATATGCATTTTAAAAAAAATATGCCTTTTGTTATTAGCATTACTTACCTACTTGGCCTAAATTTTAGGTTAGGAACAAGATATCGAGATGCTGTATTGGCGAGCTTGTTTAGACATCACTTAGCTACTTTTTCATAAAAAAAATCATATCAATGGTTTTAATTTTTTTGAGAAAATTAACGATTTCTGTCGGAATGCCCAAAAAAGCCCTCTGGCGGCCTGTCGCGAAACTAACAAACCTTCAAATATTATAACATTTGTAGCCCAAGAATAGCTCTTTTCAACTAGCTCAAGTTTGTTAAAATCGGCTCAGCTGTTTCGAATTTACAGGGTATTTTTTTACGGAAACCTTTGAATGCCCCCCACAACTTTGTTTTTAGAGATACAGCAAAAATTGTCAAACAGAAAAAGTTCTCATTTTCCTCGACTTTAAAGATAAGGTATTTTTTTGTTAAGTTAATATAGCGGAAATCGGTTAATATAGCGGAAACGTCACTTTTTCAGATTCAAGATTGCAGTGACGCCCCCGGTCATTTCAGAAACATAAAAATATTTTCCAGGTTTTTCTCTCGACCGTTTTAGTAAGAACTTTTTTGCCGCAAAACTCTGTCTGAGTGTATATAGCAGAAAAGTTATCTATAATAATCATATATGTACTTGAATTAAAATCAAAAGGAAGGTCCTCCATTTCTAGACAAATATTGACGGACGACGTAGTTTTCCCGGGTTATCACTAAATTCGCGGTACTTAATTGCCGGATCACATATACCGAATTATACTGTCATACACAAAATGTTTCGGTACAAATTAACACTCTCCATAATAATGGACATACACTACCGCTCAAATATTTTGGGACAGTGACTTTTTTCAAGAGAACTTAAAATAAATAAGGTATATATGATATTGATTGATTATTATCAACTATAATACGACTATTCAAACTAAAGATGTATAGAAATCAGTGAAACACCCCTTAAAAGGGAATAAATGTAAACACCTTTAGAGATGCCGATATTTTTATATGTTCATTGAAGTCATAACTAGGCCGAATTCCTGCCACTGTTTACTTTTTTTTGTACTATGTATTATGTACGGCGTAATATGATACATAATCATTCTGGGCATCGATGAAACAAAGTAAAAATTGTACGTAGTTTAGTATAAATTACTAGACGATGTGCTAGGGTCAGATTTTTTCAAAATAATCGATAATGGTAAAGACGGGTAACGTTCTCTTGACAAACGGGGTGCAGTGCGTGCCTTTCGTGATAAGGGATTGCCTATTCGAGCGATTGCTGAAAGGCTGCATATAGGACGGAACACGATGTCTTAAATTTTGAAGAAAAATAGAGAAACAGGCAGTGTCGTAGATCGTCCACGCTCTGGAAGATGCAGGGTTACAACTGTTCCTGAGGCTAGCTTTTTAGTGATAACAAGTTAGCGAAATAGACATTTAACTGCGCCTGAACTCACACACAGCTCGAATAGAACGAGGGAAAACCCTGTGTTCGTGTCCACGGTAAAACGCCACTTACAAAGGGCTAACCTTAGAGGATGTGTAGCACGCAAACCACTCCTGCGACCTATACACAAACGCAACCGGTTAGCATGGGCTCGAAAACACAAAGATTGAACCATTGGCGATTGGACTCGAGTCCTTTGGTCGGATGAATCCAAATTTGAAATGTTCGGATCTCGACGACGACAGTTTGAACGCCTCCTATCGAGTATTTGTGGGATGAATTGGACAGACAGGTGAAGCAACAAGAGCTTACTAGTACTATCCCAAAACTTTTGAGCGGTAGTGTATGTATTGAATAGTATGGATGCGTGAAATCATCATTTTTTAGTTTTCTGTATTCATTTTTTTTACTTTTTGCTAGGGCTTCCTTGCCGGCGTCAATGAAGAACGCGGTGGAAACTGTCAGGAAATTGATTCCGCAATTTTCTCTAACTAATGAGACAGAATTGAACAAAATTATCAGCAAGATGCAGCTATCTGACTTGAATAGGGCACTATATAGATGTGATCAAGAGGAAAGAGATGAAAGTTTTGGCTTTGATACTTACAATATACCTAGCTTTGGATCGATGGTCTATGCAGGATTACAAGGTAGGAGTACAAAAAAGATGCAAACTGACGGAACCTCGATTTCGACTCTCGGTTGCATTCCTTTGGTATTCCCACTAAAGTCTCGTTTAAGATTGTGGATAAAGCATAAGTAACGAATGTCACTAATAAGATCTAGCCAGATCAATCAATCAGCATATGGAGTATTTTTTTTTTATTTACCAAAAGTAAATATGAGAAAAGAGTCTTGAATCTGACGATTAATTGACTATTATCTTGCTTGTCACGCTTCTTGTATCAAATATGGCTCTCCTGGAAGGTTTTCAGCGCTGTTGTTCCATTTGGATCACTTCAAAAAGCACAAAAACGCTATGAAGAAGCACTTTTATCTGATTTTTTTTTTCGAGAATACGATCGTCAGGGGTATTACGTATCTTGAAAAGTGACATTATGTAGGTTTTTGTGTGACATTATGTAGGTTTTTCTATAAGATGCCAACTTAGAACCTGCAGTTGTTCACTTTTATGTGCACTCGTTCTGTACCTGTACGTGTTGCCTAAACGTCATGACGCTTAAGCTATCATGGTTTGGCTCTGATATGATGTAAAATCTGCCTCAGAAATGGCTGTGTGGGAGGTCTAAGCTGTAAGTTGTATACTACAGTTGGAAGGAAACAGGCGGAACGTCAGTACATAGGTGCTTAGTGAGGATTTGTGTGCTAATAATCTGTGTCGATGATCATTCCATTGGTTTCTTGTCTCAAATACACTTACTTAAGATGTCTGCAAAGCTAGAAATTGGGTGCGCATCCATTTTTTCTTATTCGTCCTGGAAATTACATATACATATTTGCTGAATTTCAAATGAAAGAGCGATAAGAAAAGAAAATACCTGGTTGGTGGTATACGAGTATAGTATATTAAAACTATCCGGTGAGAAAATATTGTACTTACAGGAATATTTATGAAACCTAAAAAAGTTATTAAATTTCACATTAATTTTTCTTTCCAGTCCTAGATGTGAGGCACAGTGATAATCTTTTGTATGTGATGCGTCATTTCTAATATTTTCTGTGATGTTGTTTAATTACGCACAATGCGGGTGCGGTGGTGATTTCCGGTAATGCTTCTCATAGTTTCCGAAAATGCAAAATAACGCGGAAAATCGTAATGTATAACTTTGAACATAACATCTCTTCAGAAAGGACAACACAAATAACCCGTCTGGCACAGCTAATAGATATATTTCGTGGGCAGCATTATTCAGTAATAATTTTCTCACATAGCTGATATCTCTGATTTTAAACACATGTAGACCAATACACACAATCATCCAAATGCTACATATACTCTTCAGACTTTCTGGGAATTCTGCAACCAACAAAGCATTCTGGGTCACTGACGTGTCATTGAGTCATTACTCCACAGATGTCGCTTTTGGTGGCGCAATATCGGCAGGAACTATTTGCACACTAGGAACTAGCTAGTCAGCAAGTTGACATTTTGTCGTTTTTTTTTTGACATTATACTTGACTTTGAAGTTGAGTCATTAATTTTCAGATAATGATTGTAGAAGGAAGATAATCCAAAATATGTGTGTAAAAATAAAAAATAAATAAAAAAAAATGTTACCTTGTTTAATAAAGTATCGTCCCGACAAGTATTTCAGTGCGGACCTGTATTTGATCGTGCGGTCTTGGAGCAGCATGCCCTGACCTGTGAGGTCTTAAGTCACCTGATTCACGAGCCCTTTCTACTACATTAACAAAGGCACGAGGGGTTGGTTGCACTTGATTGGGAAACCGATTCGCATAAATCCGTGATGCATCAGGGAGCATTTTGTAAAGACTGCCCCCCCGTAAATAAGAATCATGTCCACAAGTTCAGCATTTTCGTAAACATGTGCCATTTTTGATTTCGTTTGAGCCACGCAACAAACACTACTATTCACTAACGCGTTATCGACTGACGAAAAACATCGTGATAAACGTTTCAAATTCTTTCGCTTTTTTGTTTCCGATGCGATGAACCGGTCAGGCGGATTATATCCGTTGTCGCCAAACACGAACATATTATTATTGAGACAGGGCAGTACTCAAAGTTCCAAAGGGCTATAACTTTGTTACTTTAATTTTACCAGAAAAATGGTAAAGGAAAAAAACATTTCTTTTGATCAGATCTACTCACTGTTAAAATAAATGACTCAACTTCGAAGTCACCCTGTATATGTTTTAACGTAATAACCAGTGATGGGCGCATTGTATACACCATATATAATACACCATTGTATACGCGTATACAATGGTGAATATATACGTCTCGATATTCACGTATACAATGTATATAATGTATACAGTAGCAAATCATAGTTCAACTACTGGCATATAGTGCTTGCGAAAGTCCCTTTCTCTTTTAGATTTCCATGTGTACGAGGAAGAGAGAGAGGGGACAAGCGGGCACCACTTGTGTAGAAAGAGTGCGCCACACATCACGTTGCCTGGTCCAACAGTCATGAAGGCCACAGAACACAACTGTAACTTCCTGCAACGTGTAGTTTCACATTTCTGTCGTATCTGTTTGGGGTCAATTCCAGATCGATCCTAATGGTTCTCCGATTTTAGGTGGAACTGAAAGTTCAGGATAGATACAAATTCTACAACATTGCATTATTGGTTTGACCGTGGAAGCAGTTTATAAATAATGAAAAAATATATATTTATTTATATACGTATACAAGATACAGTTTTAAATAAATTAAGAACAACAAGTGAACCCTAGTTCATCGATTTCTTTGTTCTTGGAGCGTCCAACCATATTTTTTTTAATTAGTCGGTTCACTGTTTACCAACTTTCGGACGTTTACGAATAAACATAACCTCACTTATGCTATTCTATACATTGTCTTCATCATTGTATACATTGTATTCATTGTATACGCATTGTATACATCGAGACGTAGACAATAATGAATACGCGTAAACGCCCATCACTGGTAATAACTTCAAAGCGACAACAGTGCCGATAACCACCGAGCAACTGGTCGCGTTGCTGTCTTTTTGGTGGGAATGCTTGTATAGTCTTCCGTAAACATCATCCTCAAGTATTTGACTGTTGGAATTAAAATATACTTTTTTCGGATAGTTTAACATTTTTTTGTATCTGGTTACGTTCAAAAGTACAAAAATGTATTCATTGTTTTCTTATTGGCAGGTTTCATGTCATTGATGTCCAACATTCGACCCAGTAATGACCTTGGACATCCCATGTGCGCAAACCTTAGAGATGGAAACTGGATGATAGGTCAGTAACTAGTTGGTAATGAAACGTCACCTCTATTGTTTACATCCTTTTTTTTGATAAATTAGTACAATTTGTTGTCCAAGATTTCAATGAATAAAATCAATAAAAAATAAATCAGTCAACAAAATTGAAAGGCGTTATAACTACCCCAGTATTTTATTGTGAAAATTCTACCGGGTGGGCGATTAATACAAGACTCGGGCTGTACCTCAGCAACCATTCAACCTAGCTATTGGTTAAAAATCATAATACGAAAAGCGGCTAAATAGCTGGTAATTATTTTTAGCTTATGCAGGGTGTTCATAATAAGGATCTTATGCATGGGAATATCAATACCTGTGGGAGATACAGCTTAGGTTAAATTAGGAAAAAGCTGCGTATTTTCATGCCGTCGAGAAACTTGTAAAAATTTCATGGCTTACTGAGGTATTTGGGAAAAACTAAAGTTTGTCAAATCATTAATTTTTTCTGACTATTTTAAGAAAAATCAAGAAATTAATGAACCTTTTCCATTGGCACTTTCTAGGCACGACATGATGGTGTTTTTAAATTTTGTGCCTGTCGGTTCGTTTTTGAGAAACCATCAACTTTATTTCTCTATATGGACCGAAAAAAACACCTTGTTTCTGATAGCATTTTTTCTACGGATTCAACGAGGTATCGTTACATTTATTTTCTTGGTTATAAAGAAAAATGTTTTTTTAATTTTTTTATTTTATTTGTATAGGCGTTGCAAACAAATGCTTGATGTAAGATTATTTGATTACTGAATCTGTATTACATAATGATATGATAGTGTAAACTATTAAAAATTATGCTTTATATAGTGATATTCAGAATAACGAATACGTTTTTAACATTATTTTAATTTTATTCACAATAGGTGTTCAAATAGGTTGCCATTATTTTCCAAATATAAATATGATCTTTTAACAGTAGAATTCAAAACATTATGTAACATTTCTAGTATAATCATACTAAATGCCATTACACATTCTCGTAACTGCCGCTCAGTTTCAATGGTATGGCGATAAAATTGGTTTAAAAAAAGTTCAGATCAGTTAAATCCAGAGAATGCGCTGGCCAGGACACTTCACTGGATGTTCCATTTCACCTTTCGGAAATCGCTGAGAAAGATTCTCTCCAACTTCCCTAGAGTTATGTGCAAGAGCACCGTCTTGTTGAAGCTAACAGCTGTGCCAAAGGTAAATTATCCATGCAGTCTTCTAGATCATGTTACAACAATTGAAGGTACCGCTCTCCAGTTAAGGAGTTGTGGTAAATAAATGGTATTTTGGTCCCTAGAATCCCACACCACATATTAAACCGAAATGTCTCGATACTTTTTGTAGCCCGAGTCCAGTAATGAGTGTTGCGACGATTAAAGATACCATTATTAGTGACCATACTCTCGTCGGGCCACATTATTTTTGAAGGGAAATTAAAATAATCTTCACTACTTGGCAAATCCTGAATTTATAGGAATATATTTTTGGATTTGGCTGCTCCTAACTTTTTCTCAATTTGCCTAGTCGATATCTTGGAGCTCTCAACAACTGCTTCTGAAACACTATTCTGAGTTTCCTCTAAAGATTTCTTTATTCTAGAAGTAACAGGCTATTGAATCAACCATATTCATTTAAATTTTGAGACAACTCTAAGAAAATGGGCTTACTTAGCTGACTTCTTTCGGGAAGCTCAACAGGATACATTTCTGCAGTATCTTAAGTACAGGGGGGCCGGTGAAATGCTCCATGGCGACTAAATTTCCGAGCACCAAGGTACTTATCCACTACCCGTGTCCCGCTCCCTCGTGTCTGTTACGAGCAATGCGGTTTTGAAATCCGTACGTCTTTCTGGTCTACCATGTATTTTTTGTAGCACAAAATGTAGCATGTCAGCATGTCAAACTTTTCTTCATTGCTAAAATAACCACATATTTGGCGATCATAAAACAATATTAGCAATACATAATAATAGCAATTCTCGGTGACCGGTATTTACGTCAAGTCAAGCATTGGTTTGCAAAAAATGATATTAGATAGATTAGATTTCATATTTCTTAGAATAGTCAGAAAAAAATAAAAATGATTTGGCAAAATTTTAGTTTTCCCAAAATATCTTAGTGAGTCATGAAATTTTTACAAGTTTCTCAACGGTATGTGAATACGCTCCAAAGAACGCAACTTTTTTTTTAATTTAACCTAAGCTGTATCTCCCACAGGTATTGAATTCCCCGTGCATAGGATCCTTATCTTGGAAACAGTATACAGGGTTATCCAAATTAAGTGTCCACCATTAGTAACTTTGTTATTAGTGAAAATACAAAGTTGTTTGAATTAGCAAACTAGTAGCATTTTTAACGCTGGTAAAAATGAGAAATACAAAAAAACAATTGAGAGTCGTTATTTTGATTTTTTCAGTAAAATAACATTTTTTTAAATGGAAACCCCTGTCTATTATATTTTTTCTGTTAAAGCATCAAATTTTAAACAAAAAAGCTTACAATAACTTTTCTCCTAGGTTACAAATTGTTGAAGTTATGGCCTCCAATCTGAAACAATTAAATTGTATCGACAAACTTTATTTTCAACATCAACTTATAATCTTACAAAATACAATAACAATTTTTTTTAAAGAAGATGCTCGAAAACACCACCTTGTTCTTCAATACATTTTTGGGCACGTTTTTCAACTGCTCGAACTGTCTTAAGTATGGTCCTACCATCTATCTGGGTTACCTTTTCCCTAACTGCAGTCTTTAACGCGTCAAGGTTATCGTACCTTCGCTTGTAAATTTGGTTCTTTAAGTAACCCCACAAGAAGCAATCAAGTGGGTTTAGATCTGGTGATCTGGGAGGCCACTGTATTGGGCCATTTGTTCCTATCCACTGATCATTAAAAGTAGTACTTAGAAAATGATAAGTACCTCTGGAGTTGTGGGCAGGTGCGCCATCTTGCTGAAAATGCAGATGATGTCTACTTATAAGATCCAATTCGTCTAAGAAATTAGTCAGAATTTCTGACATAAATTCCACATATCTTTCACCAGTTAGGGTTCCCTCATAAAAGAACCGGCCAACAATTTTTGAACCAATTATACCGCACCAAACGTTGAAACTGAAACGGACTTGTGGGCCTCTTGGATGTACTAACAAAAGATTTTCTCTTGACCAATAATGGTGGTTTTTTCTATTAAACATTCCAGAATTTGAAAAATTTGATTCATCTGTCCATAAAAGGTAACGAAAGTTATTTACATTTTGGCGACAGAAGCTAAGGTACCAATGGCAAAAAACAAGTCTTCTCTCTGGATCCCCTGCCAAAAGCGTTTGAACTGGTCGGTACTTATACGGAATAAATTTGTATTTTTTTAAAATCCTTTGAACAGTACCATAACTGAAATTAGAGTCCTTGAGAATATCTGCTATTGAATTCTCACGATAAGCTTCAAAATATCCAATAACTGCAATTTCCGTGGCCTCGCTTATTATGAATTCTTTTTTTGCCCTTGTTTTAGCAAACACATTTTCGTTGCCCCTAAATTTTCGATAAAGTCTCAGAAAATATCGTTCATACGGTTGAATGCGAGCGGGATATAATTCACTGTCTTGCTCTCAAGGAGGATTTTCTGCACACTAAATAGCATTCTAACATATCACACTTTTCTTCATGGGAGAACATTTTTCTTTAAATTAATGACACAATAAAGCTTATAAACAAGTATTTACACTAATGTTTGACATTATTTGATTTTATCATTGTTTTCCAAAGCCTTCTAGTTGCGAGTATGTCCAGTTTAACAATTTGTCGCTTATCTTAATGCTGTCAAATCGCGAACGCCATGTTGTTTTCATAGCCGTCTTAATATTATAATACTGCAAATAATTAAAAATATTTATCGTTATTTTGACTTTATTTTTGACTTTAGCGGAAAAGTCATTATGAACTTTTTTGTTTAAAATTTGATGCTTTAACAGAAAAAAATATAATATACAGGGGTTTCCATTTAAAAAAATGTTATTTTACTGAAAAAAATCAAAATAACGACTCTCAATTGTTTTTTTTTATTTCTCATTTTTACCAGCGTTAAAAATGCTACTAGTTTGCTAATTCAAACAACTTTGTATTTTCACTAATAACAAAGTTACTAATGGTGGACACTTAATTTGGATAACCCTGTATACCAAATAACTGGTTTGACCAGGAATACTGTAAACAGCATCAGTTAAACTAAGCATCGGGACTTTGTCCTTATTGATTTAGACGCTACCTGTCTGCCTACAAATGTTGACAAACTTAGGAGTGAGATCGTTAATATATGGCAATACTGGAAAACTTGCCCTTGGTTGAAATCAATTTACAGATTGATTAAAGTCAGAGGGGATGATGGTATTTAAATTTAGGTCGTTGTAATTTTTATTATTAACATTATCAGAATTGTGAGTAATATATTCCCAGTAATGACTTCTGTACTAAACATGATCTTGTCAACCAATTACTTAGAATAAACATTATTTATAAATTATTTGGAAAGAGTCCATAGGTTTGATTCTTGAGAGGAGGTCTCTGTTGTGAATCTACTTCTCCAAGTTCATTTGAATGTTGATGGTAAGATTTAAAACTTGCCAGAGGCTGTCGGTTTTCGATACCAGTCAACCAAAGGTAGAATTTCGTTTGTTCGGACAAAAAAGGAACCTACCAGAAGCTACACTAGATTTTGTGAAATGAAATTGAAACCTTCCCCGTCCCTAAAGCAATCAAAATACGGAAAAATGGTGTTAACGAAAATGTTAGAGTTACTCTCTCTAGGGGCCATTTTGGGCATACGAAAATAATTTCCACCAATTGATCTTCGTCAATTTTTGTTATAAAAATGTTCTTGTCGAGATACTTAATCATTATGAATGTCCCACCCGGTACAACAAATTTTACTTTTCCATGTCATGATCGAAGAGTTTCGTCAATCTACAATACTTTTCAGATTACATTTCCAATCGTCTAAAATTAGATGTCGGCACCAAGGAATTGGGCGAATGGATAGCAAAAAGTACAGAGTGTTTCAAGGAATTCCCAAGATACTTAGTACCTTGCTATTTTGACGTTGTACTTACCGGCCTGTACATTCTATTACTAGAACAAAGCTACAAACTGATGACAGAGTAAGTTATAGATCGACATGCATATTATGTGAAATAATCGCTATGAACGCGATCTGAATACCTCCATTCGCACTAGGTACTGGCTAATGGGATAGCTCACGCCACGCCCACGTTCGTATGCAATTATTTGTTGCATTACGATTGTTTCCATATCTATGAGCATTTTGTAGTCCACGCATTAATTGCAACTCTCTAAAAATATATTGTGATTTTTGCGATCTCTGTAAGTGTACTGCAGTAAAATATAAAATATGAAAATTTTCAATTTTTTTCTAAAAGACTCTATATATCAAGTCTTCAGGAAAACTGGAATTGCTCAGGGTAGTATTCTTGGCCCTTTATTATTCTTCATATTTCTAAATGACCTGGAATACATTACAAGATCAGAGAATGAATGTGTGACTTGTTATGCTGACAACACTAATTTTCTGACAGTGGAAATGACTGTCGAGGATCTTAAATAAAAATAATATAACAAGCTTATCTGTACAAAAAGGGCCGAATGATAGTAACAGAATTTTAGAGGAGAACAAATGATAGAGTGCGTTGATTTTTTGGTAGTATTGAATGCTAACATAGGAGCTTAAGATACCAATCAAGATGAACATCATCAAATATGCCTACTTTTGTACAGCTTCAGCAAAGACTAAGCAGTTTTTAATACTTTTCAACTGAATCAATAAAAATATTTCAATTCCTTACAATTTTGTTATTAAAACACAATATATTTATTTCAAATAGCAATTTTGTTATATACGTATACATCACAACTTAGGTATTATATTTTCAGATTTGTCTGGACTTTTTTCATCCTTCCATTGTTGAGTAGGTTTTCTCTTATTTGAACTGTAGGAGCACTTCCTGAAGGAAATTTTGATTGCTTGATGGCTTGTCTTTCAAGGAAGTCGTCTCAGTATCGCCTTCAAAAGTATTACATTCAATGATTATGCCACGAGGCAGTCGTACCAAATTATTATTTTTTTTTTCGAAAAGTGCTTACATATCAGTCAGCCTCATTTTTATAAAATATTGCTATACAAATACATGTGCGTTTGTTAATTTGCTGCTAAATGCACGGATTAAAACATTTCTGTGCTTGATTGCACTTTTACAGATTAACATATTTATGAAATGTCATTTTACAGTTAACATGCAATTTTGCTTGAGCAACTTCCAATATTTCTTGACAACTGCTACCTCCACAACTGTCATAGATAGAGTATTGAATTTCTCGCAAAAAAAATAATTATCAGATTTTCTTTTATCCAGTTACTTTTTTCGTCTTTTTTATTAGTCTATGCTGGGTAGCCATGAACCCAAAATCAACTATTTCTCAAAATTTTCAAACCAAACCTTATATACATTCACATGTTCTAGTTACCCATTTAACAAGCTTTCTTTCTATGGGCGCTTGTACTATATTGGTTTTTGAGTTACAGCAAACCTTTTTTGTAACTCGGATATCAAGATAAATGAACCTTATATGAAAAGTAAACTTGAACATTTTGAGAATTAGTTCATTTCGCGTTCAAAACCATACATTGTATTAAAAACTTGAAACATTAAGGCTATCTGGGATCTGACGGAAAAAAACGAAAACATCACTTTAGCTAAAGCGATGGCAGCGATTTTGCGCCCGCTAGGCAGCGCTTGTGACGTTGGGGGTGAAAGCTGACAAGTGTAGTTATAAAAAGACACATTTGATAGGCAGATGATGAAAAAATTTGATAGAAATGTAATCTGTTTTTCACGTTTTGACGTTCATCGATCAACAATGGGCATGTTTGTCTGTTTACAGCCTTAGATATAACGGCTATGACCCCCCAGTCTAGCTAGCGCCATCTGCTTCTAGCGGGAAGCTAGATTACCTTGAATTTTGGAGGTGCAAGTTTTCAAAGCTACCCTGAGCCTATTCCAAACTTTTAGACTTAACAGCTGCTGCTCATGAATCAATAAAGAAACAGAACAGATTGAAAAATACCACAAAACCAATGTTTACGTAAGCATGGAAATAATAATTGTAAAAAATCTGCTTACGTAACATTTGAACGGCGCCTTAACTTTGTTTCAGCTTTGTGAAACATGGATCCACGTTTGTGAAAGGTTTATCTATGGGATCCGTACAGATGGCTGCTTATATAAAATCAACAAAATTACCTGATCTGTCTCCAAATCTAGCACCACCAAAACCACCAATGAGGAAGCAGGAAGATGACAAACAGGTGCAAGCTTGTGTTACCCTCGCTGCAGGTAACATAGTAGTTTTTGACTATTTTAAAAAGATTCAGATCACTACAAAAATCAAAAATTATTTTTTGATGTAAAAGATTTTGAAATGTTCTTAGGTTTTTTGGCGTTACAAAATAATTATACGAATATACATTTGTGTATTGATGATTTTCAATTTGCCTGTATATGAAATTTGAAAATAGACGTATTTCAATACGAGGAAAGTACCGAGTCTACGGTACTACTACTACCATTACTACATTAGCATAAATCACATATGATGCTTCTAAACCTGCAAATGCTGTTCAAAATGACCATCAACTAGACTGCAGTACTTTCTTTTATAGACTGTCAAACTCATTCAAATAGACCGTGGTCATATCTGAGTTACATCTAAGAGCCGTTTTACACACAAGAGAATTACTCCGAAAATTATGGTCATAATTATGCCGAAAATTTGCATGGAAAAAATATTGAAGATTTTCTCTACAACCTGTATGTGACAAGCAAACAAAATTTCCGAGTAATTCATATGATACGCCTGCGCATTAGAGTAATATTTTCGAATGGACATAACCTTAACGGGTATGACGTCCAATATAATCGGAAAGACAACAGACGTCGTTGATTTAAATTTATTTTTGAAATCGAGATCTTGGTTAATATTATAAAACTTCTCAATGCTTGGACGACCGCATCCATCGCCTGACGCCGCAAATTTCTGTTTTTGTAATTGGGTGACTTCACCTTGTACAGGTTTGGTCATTTTTGGTACTTCTCCAACAACAGTGTAACTTCTTCCCGATTCCACGACATTATGAATAAACAATAACAATGAACGATTCTTCGTACGGCTCGAACAGGACCACACCCACAAATGTTAAGTGAGGTTATGTTGTTGACGTTGACATTTGATAATGACATGCACGGAAATAACCCTCTGCGCCGATTTTCGCTCATATTCTATAGAACGGGTTTTATATTTTTACCATGAAAATTTTCATAAGAATTCTTTTACGTGTAATACCACAGCAAAAATTTTCGGCATAATTATGACGATAATTTTCTGAGTAATTCTCTTGTGTGTAAAACGGCTCTAACATCGGATTTATCAGATTTTTTACTGTTTCTCCTAAAGTAATGGAAACTAATAACTCTACATTGTAGATATCCTCTGAAAACACCTACGAATGTAGTTAACAGCCCTAACTTTGTGGCAATATAATAATTATATAATTGAACCATATAAGCGTTATACCGAGTTCAGTAGCTTAGGAGATATTTTCACTTTTGTGAAATTTTATAAAACATCTGAATTTGATCATAACTTTGCAAGTACATACAGGTAAAACGGTTCGGCGAATTTGCTAACAATCCTTGAAGATGCTAAAAGATCCACTGTTGAACTGCCTCCATAAAAAACATATGTCAACCATGAACTTGATATTTTGGCACAACTCGTAAAGTTCATAATCAGATTTCTTTCTGAAATTTCATAAAAGCCGGAATATTTTTTGTTGTAGCTTAATAACAAAAGACCATGTCATTTTTTATACGAGCCTTGTTCAATTGAAACCCATCTTTGGTCAGGTTAGTCTTGGAAACAATTCTAATCACTTAACTGACGTTTTGCAATGTTAGTTGTGTTTGTCAACGTCACAATGATCAGTTGCTGTCATTTGTGTTTGACTTCGATTCTAGGTATTATGACCTAAAAATGGAAGTTTGTTGTTAACAATCCGTCCAAATATAATCATTCAATTTTTATGTGCAACGATTCCAAATTCATACGCGAATGCAAGCAGTGTATGGAAACACATGTTCTGCGTATCCTACTGTCAAGGAATGGTGTTGAAAATTTTAGAGTGAAAGAGAGAAGACGAATGATAAGCGCCGACTAGGTGCATTGAGTACTGCAACAACAGACAGGAATGTGGCATGTATGGAAGATATGCTTAGAGAATGAGTTCCTCGCCTTTTGTCAGAGACCCAAAAAGTTTGCAAATGAGCTTATCTTTGCAACATCTCACGGAACACAAGCAAAACTTGAATGACTTTATTTCGTCAATAATTTATGACGTCATTATTTTGAACCATCCAGTAAGCTGTCATCGACGCAATGGAAACACGCAAATTCTCCGCCACCAAAGAAGTTTAAAGTTCAACCTTCTGCAGGCAAGATCATATTAACATTTTTTTTGACCATAAGGACCCTTGCTCATAGAGTTTAAAGAATTTAGAGTCCATATCAACGCAAACTTGTAAAATGAAACGTTGAAGAATCTCCATCAAGCATTAAGACGATAACGTCCAGGGAAGCTCTCACGTTGTGACATTCTTCTGCACAATAATGCTCGGCCTCATGTTGCCAGAGTAGTGAAAAAAATCTACTACGAAAGAAATGGGGGATATTAGATCATTCACCCTATAGGGCCACTGAAAAAGGCGTTAAAACGGTAAGCATTTTCAGTTGGACGAAGAAGTACAAACTGCCGTAAAAGAATTATTCAAGCAGCAGCCACAAGAATTCTTTCGATTGGTGAAACAATGGAATATGTGCCTTAATTGTAGTGGTAATTATTTTTAGATATATTTGCCAATACATGTTTTTCTTTAAGATTCAATGAATGAATGAATGAGTCTTGAAATTAGAGGCATTCCGGCCACCATAAGGAGCCAGTGCATAGGCCGCTTAAGCGGGCCCTTATGCACCTCTACATTCCTTAGATCATAAGCCTCTTTTTTTAGCGAAGTTGAGAATTGCCTTGAGTCCAAGCTCCTTGACGTCCTGAGGGTCCAAAATAATGGACCCCAGTATAGTCTGCCTATAGTAGGAGAGCTTCACAGCGACACAAAACGTGCACCGAGGTCTCTTCCTCTACCCCGCGGCGTCCACATAAGTGATCCTCAGCCACCTCGATCACGTTCAGGTGGCGCCTTAACGTGTTATGGCCAGACAACAGACCCACCAGCAACCTTAGGTTGGCTCTATCCAGAGATAGGCAGAAACGTCCATCCTTAGCACTATGCCCTTCAATGAGTTCCCGTGCCTGGCGGAGATGTCTGGAGATACTTCTACATTTCTGAGAGTGTTGTCTTGCAACCCACGTCTCCATTTTCTTCCTAGCTCTATGCGCGGTCACTCCTAGAGCTGGCTCAGGTCCAACGAGCTTGCTGGCTGATCCTGTCTTTGCCAGAGTATCCGCCGTCTCATTGCCCCTTATCCCAGCGTGCTCCGGTACCGACTTTAACGATACCGGATGCCTAGCTGCGAGGCAATCCAGAGCCTCCCTGCATTGCAATACAAGACTCGAAGTAATCTTACAGGCACTTAGTGCTTTCATTGCAGCCTGGCTGTCGGATAAGATTGTTATTCTTCTCCTAGGCCCACCCTCCTCCAGAATGTGAGATACACAAGCCAGAATCGCAAAGATTTCCGCCTGGAAAATGGTGGTGTATCCACCGAGGGGCAGAGATAGCCTAGTTCTAGGCCCAGAGACCCCAGCACCTGAGCCCTCTTCGGTGACCGAGCCGTCCGTGTACCAGACCTGCCCGCTCACTTCGGAGAGTCCCCGGCTACCGGCGTCCCACTCCTCCCTCGTTGGATACTCCTCAATAAACTTGCGGTTAAAGCGATATTTAGGGGTAATACGATCACTCCTGCTTAGAAGGACGGGGTCCTCCCTTTGCAATTCGACTAAGATGGCAGTATGCCCCTTGACAGGATTCAAGAAGGCCCAGCTGCCCTGACTCCACAGTCGATGAGTGACTACTCTCGCTTCACCGCGGATCACCAGATCCAACGGAGGGAGATCCAACAGAACTTCCATTGCACTCAATGGGGTTGTTCGCACTGCGCTTGTAATGCTAATACAGGCCAAACGCTGAATTTTATTGACTTTGGCCTTAGTTGTCTCAGTTCTAATGCAAGGCCACCAGACTAGGGAGCCGTACAAGAGACATGGATGTACTATCGTCGTGTATAGTCCGTGTCCCACTTTGGGTTTAAGTGAATACGATCAGCTGGATCTTTTCAGCGTTGACAGAAAGATCGACCTCCCTACACCACGATTTCACATTGCGCAGAGCGCCCTGAATAATCTCACAGACTGTGCTACAAAAACAACCCCTAACTAATATGCTAAGTCGTCAGGAAGAAAGATGGGTTTCAATTGAACAGGCCTCGTATTAAAAATTATTATCTTTGTCCTGTACGTTAAAGCGTCGCAAGACAAAATAATCTTAGAACAAGCCATCGACGTCTCTTTATTTTTTCCAAAATGGGTAACATAACATTTTCTTCTTCTGCTACATATGTATCTTGTGGTAGTTTCACTGATACTTGAACTTAAACTGTCAAATAAATAAAACTAAAAGAATGAATTATTTTCAATTAATAAATTACCACATTCCGTTCGCCTTATTTTTTATTAAATAAAATGTTTTTGTATATGATGGAATTTTATTTTCAGGTTTACCTCACTTTGCTGTTGGTTGTTGGAGAAGTTGGGGTCGTGACACATTCATAGCCCTGCGAGGTTTGTGTATATTGACAGGCAGATACCAAGAAGCTAGGGAGCACATTTTGGCTTATGCTGGATGTTTGAGACATGGCCTCTTACCAAACTTACTAGACGCCGGACAAAACCCACGGTTGGTATATGTACATTTCATTAAAATAATATCCAACAAACTACACAGTTCACTCCAGACAAATAAAAAAAATGTCATTTTCTGTCATTCGGTTACATAATGGTCAGGCAGTTTGTTTTTTGGAAGTACACGGTGTTCTGAAAGGTGTGACTCTTCTTTTTAGGAACATATGCTTAATAAAAACAATGCTAATTTGCGATGAAATAAAGTGAAAACGCAAAATAAAATTGTGATGATGGCACTCAACATTCATTTGTTAAGAAATTTCACAAACTGTCCTGTAGGTGATGCTTATTGAATAATATTTGAAATAATATTTGAAATTTGATCCCAAACAAGGTTTTGCTCGATGGTTGCATCATTGGAGGTTAAACAGAAATTTAACAAATTACCCAAATACACTTGACAACAACAACAGCAACAACCAAGCAAGGTGAATACGAAAACACGAGCACGCAGTGATACACGCGCATTATTCCGCCAGGCGACAGCTTGAAATTTAATTGCGAATTGACCAATAAGAGGCGTTGTCCCCACCTGTTACCGAGAGATCACGCGCTAACTGTTATTATTTACATCTCATCTTGAATTTGGATTCAGTTTAGGTCTGTTACCTTAACTTTTCGTTCGAGATCAACAAATCCGAGTGGTGCATGATGGAAATGCCCAGGGAAACGATCTGAATACACTCGGCAGTAGCTTGAGTACACTGTGAGCTAACATCGTATTGACAAATTCGTTATTGCTATAGGTGTGTACCATGCCGAGGAAAATTTGCTTATTTTGTCAAGAACCACATGCTGTGTAAAGTCGCAATTTTAAGACCACTCTATATGCCGAATATTACTGATTACAACATTGCGTGTACAGAGGCAACCTACGTGATGGCATGACAATTATAACATTGCTTCTGGATTGACGATATGTAGCGGGGATTTAAAGACTATGTACACCATTAGTTACTTCTAGTCCAAATTTTCCACTGAATTGCTAGAATTTTTAAACCAAATATGTGATGGATATTACAATTATTTTTTCCTTATTCCGACAATTATATCCTATCTTTATTAGCACTATTTGGAATAATTAGATGCTATTATCTCATTATTTGTTTTACAATATTAGCAAAATTTTCTTCTCTGGTCAGCTGTCGAGAAACCATTAATTGTAATCGAAAAAAATCGAAATCGACATACGTATGTTCTATTTACATTGCAAAGCAACATCTTGCTCATTTCCATCGGCCTGTCTGTCTGTCGGCTACCTGTTCCATTACCACAACTGTTGACTGCAATGGAATGCGAAGAATATTGCGGACTTCTTTGAAATACCACCACAGTAGCGCGACGATTTCCAGTTCGAAAAGGGTTAAAAAGTATAATTTGCCACAACATTTTGCAAGACTTGTCATCATTAAACATAAATAGCTAGAACAGCGACCTAACTGATTAATATAAGAAAAATTGTTTGAACAAAATGAAAAATAAATAAGATTGATCCCTAAAACTTAAAAATACAAATCACAAAACTAAAAAATTCTGAAACTTTAAGACGCACAAACGATAAATTCTGATTAAAAACAAATATAAAACGACTATGAATAATATATAACGTAAATAGATGCAAATATAAATAAATATTCAATTGAACAAATGGTAGTTAGCTCCGCTGCGGTTTTATGACTCACCATTGTTCGAGCAGGAACTGTCACTGTCAGTGCTGTGGCTGTCATTGTCATCATATAATTTAATTATCGCTGGTTCGATTATCCGCTCTATGGAATGGTCTACTTTACTCTTTTTTGACTACATGCCTTATGCAATTTTGCCACGTGTCACCAGTTACACCCTTAATGGTCTCTTCCAAAAGAATACGAACATCCGCCATGTTAAAAGTAGTATTCTTTACGCGCTACCTCGTTTTTTATTCGAGCCCATATCAACTCGATTCGATTAGGTTAAATTCGCAGTGGTACGGAGGTAATTTCAAAACCTTAAATCCTTTTTTCCTTTGCTATTTCATCTACCACTAATTTCATGTACCTACCCTTGTGCTGAGGAGCGATTTGCATCAACTCTGCTTTGAACATCGATAGGCCGCATGGTATATTTTTTGACACTAGCCATTTATAAATTTCTAACTTTCTCCATTTTAAAGTGGGAAGACTTTCTGCACGTCGACTGAGATATGAAGCATTATCTACGACAATCACGGAATCTGTTCTAATTTTGGTAACACAGCTTTGAACCAATCTTCAAAAACTTATGCGTTCATATCTTAATCTAATCTCCAGTTTTTCGTGATTCGAATACGCTCAATCCTCCACCGACAAAGCCAGAATCGCTACGAATATGAGTAATACCTAATTAAACTTCGACCCTTACCTGTTGGACGTTGAAAACCTATACTTAATCCCTCACGATACGCTTGTCTACGAGATATGATGCTTAGATCTTGCCAATATTTAGAAACTGCGTGTCTCATCCAAATAATAAATCTTCTGTCTTCCCATTACGCGAATACTACGTATTGTTTTCGGGTAATCCCTGTGCCAAGTTATTACGGCATCCCTTTCGATCGATGCACTATTCCTCTTCTCCTCCTAGGATATTTTTGGTAGACTATGGTCAGCATTCAAAGCGTGCTGTAGTTTTTTTATTGTCGGTATTTTTCTTCTCAAATAAAAAAAGTACACCTTCCGATGGATTGCGTATTTATCATCATTTAAAACCATGCGTTTACGTCCCTGTCATAAACATTTTCCGCAATATTTCTTTGTCCAGAATATAAATTATGCCATTTATGGGGTAGACTGACAAGAACGCAGGTAGAAAACGGTGAACGTGTGCTGCCTTTGTACGTCGGCAAAATGTGACGATGTTGCCACGTCTTGACGGGCCACTTACATTTTAAGCTTTCTACTATTATTTACCCTTCGCATCCGGCGATAGTAAACCATAAATCAATAATATTGGTGTTTTTTTTAAATCACACTGCTAAACCCTAACTTTTGGTAGACATCGCTTGAAAAATATGTCAAAAGTCATAAAGCAGCTTTAACGCGGTACTCTCGCTAGACGCACACATTATTATTATTTCATTATCAAGACTCAATCTGGTATCTGGTAACGACTTTTTTTGAAATACACGCGCAAAATAAAATTATTTTTTCGGTAGTCTTTGAAATATTTGCGGAATACTCAAAATATGTCATTTCATTTTGAAACTTGTAGTCGGCTGCTATGTTAAGTATTTCTATAATCCTCGCACACATTTGCCTATCAACTTATACCAACAAATGTCGTTTTCCGAAACTTTTATGTACCACCCAACTTACTTCACTTTATATTTATGAATGTTTTTAGAAAAATCAACCTTTCGATAGTTTTCAAATTTCTGGTTGCTTTGGCACCTGATCAAAAAAATAATAAGTGGATCCAATAACGTTGAATTTTTACTTCCTACGTCACTGTCGAGGAGGAGGTGGTATCGTAACCGCGAAAAATTTCTGGTTTTGATGAAATTTTCACACAAGGTTACTATTATGCTAAGGACGAAGATGCTTTGTAGTTTTTAAAAATCGGTCTAGAGGCGGCGGAGCTACAGACGAAAAAATTAAAATCATTCAAGCTTCTTTTCTGACGTTTCAGAGGTGATCATTTTTAGAAAAATGGTGCAGGGAAGCCTTTATCTTCCTTTGTTGGCAATTCCCCACGTGTCATGATGATTATTTAACTTGAAATAATGGACTGTAATTGTATGATAATGCAATAAAACGAAAAACTAATAATTGTAAAAATGTGTTTATGAAAAAGGCGGCGGATTAATAAATAAAAATAAAATAATTGAATCAACAACCAAACAACTATGTTGACAACAGATTTGATTACAGTGTGTGTGTTTCTGACATTTTTCAGTTACAACTGTCGTGACGCAATTTGGTGGTGGTTATATTGTATCAAGGAGTATTGTGAAGAAGTTGATGGCGGTACGTCAATTCTGAGCGACAGGGTGTCTAGGCTGTTTCCTGATGACGAAAGTGATCCACAACCTGCAGGGAAATATGATCAACCGTTGCATGATGTAATTCAGGAGGCACTTACCAGACACTTCCAGGTATCTTAGATGATAATCATGCTGTGCTTTTCAAAATGGTCTTCCCAACTGTCAGTGTTGTTCCATGCATTTCTTACACCAATAGAATATTCAATATTTGACAAAATGCATTTTATACCTTAGTATACTCAGTGACATTAGAAGGGTTACACCCAGAAGAAATAATTTATTCAACTAGATTTTTTGACAATGAGGTAGTCTTAAATCAAGAATGAAACGATAACATTCTCACGAAATTTTATTGGCAATTAATAAGAAAAAAAATTAATAATGTGTTGGGCGACCTCATAGCTGAATACACTCCTGTGTACGTGTAGGCGGCGACAAAATGAGATGATCGATGTCTGGTTGTGGTACCTTATTCCAAGCAGTGAGTCTGTGGTGGATAGTCTCCTCCCCATCATCCACACATGTTCGATGAGATTTAAATCCGGTGAACGGGGTGGCCACGGTAAAACATTAACGCCTGCTTCTTGAACAAAGTCCGTAGTACGACGAGCAATATGGGGACGTGCGTTGCCTTGCTGAAAAAGGACTTGTGGACGGCCCTCTAGATACGGCCGTAAAGTGGTTTGTAGGACATCATCAACCAAACTCACAGCAGTCATATTGCCTTGAACAAAGAGAAAGGGTGATCGGCTACCATAGGCAATAGCCTCCCAAACCATTACTCCAGCAGTCCTGTGTGCATGCCTCTCAAATGCAAATTCAATATCACGCCGTTCTCCACGGCGGCGTCTTATCCTTCTACGACCATCGTGCGTACCTAGACAGAATAGCGATTTGTGGTGAAGATGACATTTTGCCATTCTGCCTCCCAATGTTGCCGTTCTTTGCTCCAGTTCAAACGTTAAAGTCCGTCAGAGGAAGCACTAACCGTGGTTGGTATGAAAAAAGCGGCGATAGAGTGTACGCATAGTAACAGGTATACCTTCTTCTCCAAACCATTTGTCAGCGATCTGACGCGTAGTAGCAAAACGGTCTCGTAGGGCTAGTAGTCTGAAGCGCATATCTGGACGCTCTGTGGTATGCTTCGGTGGACCAGTTGGTCTTCTTCGTGTTCCTCTACCTTCTTGTATCCACACACGATACACACGCATTACCGTCATTACAGTAAATTAACACTGTGGCCGATTTCGCGATAGGACATACCAACATCGCTATAGGCAATAATTCTACCCCTGTCAAAGTCGCTAACATGGCGATCATTTGGGCAACTTCGAACTCGAGGCATTTTTTATGCTTAACACTAGTAAATTAAAGGGCAATACCTAAAAATATCTGTACTACTCAGCTCTCAGATACTACTTTCTTCACAAAAACTAAGAGATAACATTTTAAGAAAGCTAAACAAAAACAAAGATATGACGTTGACATTGATGCCACAGCATGCTTTAAATATAGTCATTATGTTACCAAGAAAACAAGTTGAAGAAATTATTTATTCTGGGTGTTACACTTTTAATGTCACTGAGTACATTACTAAATTCTACTCGGCATTTAAATCTATCTATTTCACAGTTTATATATATTATGGAAGATTGAATGAGCCTCAAATCAAGGAGTGACAAGCCAAACCTATAACTTAGATGATCCTCAGGAATCTCCGTTTTGTAGGATATAAAAGATCAAATTTTAAATATAGATATTTGAGAAAACGTCTTTGTACCTGTTCTAATGAGGTCTTATGGGTTATTTAGGACAGCTTCCAAACTAAAGATGCATATTCTAATCTAGAGCGAACATATATGCATAATATAACTTTTTCAAGACATTTATTACCAGACGCTTTACAGGTTCTGACTATAAATGCAAAATATTTCAATGCATCTAATAGTTTTGAGTTGATATGATAGCTAAAGACTAGTTTTTTATCGAACCATACATCTTTAATTTGATCAACTTTTGAGGGATCATTAATCGCAATCTTATCTTGATGCTCTGCTTTTTTTCTTGAAAATGTTGCATTTAGATGCATTTCTTGTACTGCTTCTGCTGGAGAATACGGCAATCTGAGATGTCATTGATTGCTACGAAGATTTTCAGATCATCACCTTATGATTAATTCTAACAAGTTACAAGGCAGATTGTTTATGTACAGTAAAAATAGAAGGGGAGCCAAGTTGAAACCTGGCGATGCACCTGAAGTTGCTATATATTTTTGAGAATCAAAACCATTATAAAAAACATATAGAGACCTATTTTCAATATATGATTGAAAGAAATTAACCATTAAATCCTAAATTAGATACTCAATAGAATACCATGATCTTGTCAAAAGCTTTAGATGTATAGACCCTCATGCATCTGGCCATGATTATTCTGAACATTAGTGACAAACTGCGTCAAACCAAATTGGTGACAGTAGATCTGCCCTTGGAAAAAACATGCTGAGAAAGGGAAACTTAGCTTCAGACCAAGGGATAAATGAATAATTTCAAATTCTCTCGAAAAATTTGATAGATAGATAGTAGTCAGAATGGCGCCGTTACAATTTTAAAGTACATTTTCCATAAAGAAATGTTTAATCTCAACTGGAAACCTTCATCGTATCAATTTAGCCTTTTTCATATACGAAATGCATGAGATGCATTGAAGCAGGTTGTTTCAGATCATCAGCTTATAATTAATTCCAGCAAGTTGCAAGGCAGATTGTTTATGTACAGTAAAAATAGAAGGGGAGCCAAGTTGAAATGTAATGTAGATGCATTGAAGCAGGTTGTTTCAAAAATAAGGTGCCCACATTTTCGTCAGTCACAAACAATTTTTTATTTGAAAAAACCAATTCACTATTGGAAACGTTGATCTTTAAGCTGGTTTTATCCATAGTCGTCATTTTTTCTAGGCATTTTTTTAGCCGTGAAATCCACAGAGGATGCGCATTGTTGCGGGACAGTCTTACGCTTTGGTGAGTTTTCCCTTACGACGATTTTGAATTGCCCGTCTCAGCTTTTTCAGTAGCCTCATGAATTTCAACCGTTTGTTCCCGGATCGTGATTCGCCAATCTTCGAGCAAGATTTGTTCAATCTTGGCCACAACTTCCTCGGAGATCGACGGCCTCCCTCTTCGTTATTCATCGTGGATGTCCGTCCGGCTGCCAGAACACTTTCTTCTCCATTTGATGTCATGTTGATGTTGATGGCGATGAATTTCTATGGGTGGTAACGTTTTTGCGTGCAAAAATTGAACGACCCCACGAATTTCGCACCTGGCGGTGACGCCGATAAAGGGCTCCATTACGCATGGCTGTCGGGCCGGTACTGAGCATCGCAAATAGGCGCTTCTTGTTGGAATCGGTAGTGAGGGAGCGGACAAACACGACGGTTTTGCCAGATTTCGCCTAGCAGCACGCGTGGCAAAGATACAGCGTTGGGAACCTTATTTTTGAGGCAACTCTCGTATATACTAAAATTCAAAAGTAGCTAATGTCATGATCATTCTTCCAGTCTGAGCTCAGCTTGAATATTTGTAGGATACATTGTATTATTTACTGTTACAATTTGATAAACTCTGTTTATATTGATTTTGATTTCATAAATAGGGGGTAACCTTCAGAGAAAGAAGTGCTGGTCCGAAGATAGATGAACATATGAGTGATGCAGGTTTCAATGTTCAAATAGGAGTTCATCCAGAGACTGGTGAGTATTAATTGCCTACACTTAGGCCTCATATTACTATCGTCCGACTGGATCTAAAATCTTGATCCGGATCATAATAGACCAATGAGTAATTGATTAAATGAATATAGTCCAGTTTGTCTAGCATATCTGTCAAACTAGCGAAAAAATATACGAGTTGCGTAAGAAGGTCCATACTAAATCAAGGAATTTTTTAAAAATCACCTGGTTTAGCTACAAAAAGATATTTTTCCACTTGGTCCAGAGATCAAAACCTTTGATTCGGATCAACAGTGACCAACTAGAAAGCGATTTCGTAAAATTGCATCATAAACTGGCAATCGGAAACAAGTATCATACACCCACCTTGTAAATGATAGAATCAAATTCAAAACAGACATACATGCCTGAAAAAAAAACTGAAGAAAATGATATATCCGGGGGTCGTCCTTCAAAGAGAATCAAGATATTTCTGGGTTATAATTTTTTTATTACACATTTGGTTAACACGAATGTATACTATTGCAAGGTAGAAATCAGATAAGAAATTATACAACAAAAAGAAAGGTCTGTAATAACATAAAGACTGTAAACTATAAAATGGAAACCCTTATTTCTTCTGCCTCTTTGTCGGTTAGAGATGGGGTGTGTATTCGAATTCAGATAACTCAAATTCAGATAATAACGACGCCTACGATGCTGTTCCATAACTTCCACATCTCGGTCAGAGTTTGATGAGGATGAATCCATCCCAGAATTATGTACAATATCGATGTAAATGCCGCAGAAAATATAGATTCTAGTTACAGATTACTTATAATTGAATTTATGTGGATGAAACTCTATTAAACTTAAAACCTAGTTATAGTCTAATATTAGACGAAAATACCCCTGGTTTGCGAAATAAATGTAAAGTTTTCTGGAATCCAATCAAAATTGTTGACAGTAACGAATAAACTCTTCAAATTTTAGGTACCTACGAGACCTACAAAATGAGGCCACACCTAAAAAGATCCGACCAATAGCAAAAAAGTTATGGCTGCAAACTTATGCAAAATACAGGTTTTGGCACTTGTTGGTAATGCGACGATAATTTTACGCAGCTGCTTGAAATTCTTCAAATCCATAGGCTTCATACTTTTAAATAACGACAACAAAATTGGAGTAGATTGGTCTAGTAGTTTTTGAGAATTTGTAATTGTTTATCCCAAAACACTTGTTTTCCGGCCATCACTACTAATGTATTGAGCGATATACAGAGTTCTTTCAAAGAGCATTTGATATCAAAATACACGAGTTTACCTTGCCGATATGAATCACAAACCATTGCGAAAGGCAAATGCTATTTTTATGCGAAAAACAAAGGTTACGTTTTTTTCTTCTAAACAAATTCAAACATTTCGTATTTGTGAATAACTGAACAAATGCGCTACGGTATTCTAAAAACATACTACTATACACATTTTAAACCAAAGCGGATGTGTCTATCGTCTTTTGTTGCGAATTACTCACAAATACGAAATGTTTGAATTTGTTTAGAAGAAAAAACGTAGCACCTTTTGTTGCGAAGAAAAAAATTGTTTCTCAAGATCTCTCGATACTATACATATTCAGAGCTGAAATGTTTACACGGTCACAGTTCAGCCTTGAAGTTTATAAACAAATTATTTCATGCTGAAATGCACTGAACAGTTATGTTTCAAACTATCTTAGCCTAGTTAGTATGTAGCATGTGCTAAATGGCTATATTATTGATGACTGCATGACTTTGTCAAATAAGTAGGTCACGTGATCCAGTTTCTTTACAAAGAAATATAATTCGCTGGACCTTTTTTCTAAAAGTATTCATATAGTATATATATATATATATTTGTTTTCGAAATCTCTTGCGATTAAAACGACTGCGAGTTAAAAATGTTGGAAAATAAACTGAAGAAAAAAACAGTAGATGAATATCAACCAATTGTAGCGAAAAATGAGGCAAAATGCTCGATATCAGGCATAATCCTCCCTAAAAACTATCTGCTATGATCCGACATAGTGTGTCTGAAATTTTATCAAAGTAATATAAAAAATTATAAAGAATCATACTTATCCCGCTGGTTTCCTGTTGCAAGCTTATTTATGGCGTGCGGAAAGCTGTTTGATCACAATAAAAGCACGCATAATGTGAAAAAGCATTTATTTCATCAAATTTAAATAGAATTGATAGAAAAAAAATGGAGGTTTGTGGATTCGAAACCTCCGTCCTGCGGATATGTAACCGTTACTCTTTCCCACTACACTACGACGCCTCTTGGTTTATTGGATCTTTATACCACTATACTTGACACTGACAAGCGAACGTTGGCGGTGCATCAAATATGTTATAAACAATTAGAATTATCTCGAAAAATATACAATGCTGAAACTTTAAATAATGTATCAGGGACTAATACCGAGCACTTTGCCTAATTTTTCAGACGGTCAGTTGGCTACAATTGGTTGATTTTTGTATACTGTCTTTTCGTTTTGTCGAGTTTATTTCCCAACATTTTGCGTGCTAACTTTATAAACAGTTCAGTGCATTTCAGTATGAAATATTTTTTTTTATAAACTGTGTCGCTGTAAATATCTCAGCTGTAAATATATATACATAAGGGTAAGAAGAAATCTTACAAGAAAAAAATTGCTCAATAAACTAGAAGTGATGGCCGGAAACGGGTGTCTTGGGATACACAATTGGAAACTCTCAAAAACTACTTGACCAATCTACTCCAATTTTGTTGAGGTTATTTAGAAGTGTGATTCCTACAAATCTGAAGAATTTCAAGTATCTGCTTTATGCGTCGGTTTCCGGCCATAACTTTTTTGCTATTAGTTGGATCTTTTTACCTGTGGTCTTATTTTGTATGTCTCATAAATACCTAAAAATATTTTTGTTCGTGGTAACATTTTTGATTGAGAACCCGGTTTCTCATTCTTTGTTGTCGAATAAAAGGTTTTCCCGCAAAAGTTGCTGTACCCATTTTATGCGTCCATGTTTTAAATACCCCCTAAAAACCACTACCTTGAATCCGAATAAAACTGTATTAAACCTACTTACTTTATTAAAAAAGCACTACCTCAAATAACATTCAGCATAAACTCAAAAACAACTCAGTATCACATTCAAAATATGCTCGCACTGATCGTAGCGGCACTTGAAATAACTCTTTTTGTAACCAATTGTTCCGCTCTGAGGAATACTGTAAGAGTACAGGGAATACTGGGATTCGTCTTCTTGGTCCGGAGTTTGTCTTTCAGCATAATAATGACCCCAAACAAACATCGAAGCTCTGTAAATTTTTTGAACCAAAAGAAGAACAAAACATTTTGAAAGTCACGCAATGGCCTCCCCAATCCCCGGATTTGAATCCGATAGGATTGCTGTGGGAAACTGGACAGACAAGTACGGAAATGTTGTCCTACATCTCAAGAACACTTATGGAGAATATTACAAGACGAATGCGAAAAATAACCACATCCACTCCAGAAAAATTAGTTGCGGGTTTACCCATCATTTGCCAGGGTAATTAAAAGAAAAGGAGGACATATTGATGAGTCAAAAATATGATTATTTTGATTATAAATAGTTGTATATTGTTAAGAATTAAGAAAATAAATGTGTCTGTAATACAGATATTATAATGATTTCTTTAATAACTTCCACCAGGTTCCTTGTTTTCTGGGTGTTCAAATAGTTTTTAACGGTAGTGTACATATTACAACATTAGACGGCAATTTAATTGACAATCGACATGCTGATCCATTTTTAAAAAAGTATCATTTTTTTCTAAAACTATCTCTCCCAGGTAAGTAATACAATATTCTTTCCAATAGTGCTCGGTAATTGATGTCATGATCAGTCTAGGCATTATGTCACATTTGATCCACGATTTGGGCAGGGGTTAAAGGCTCCTCTCTGATTGGTAAATTTTCGGTACATTTTTTTAATTGGTCATTATTGATCCGGATCATAAGTTTTGATCTCCGGATCAACTGAAAAAAAAATGTTTTTGTAGCTAAACCAAGTGATTTATAAATATTTTCCGGATTTAATATGGGGATTAGCGGCCCTCCTTACACAAATCGTATATTTTTTCGCTAGTTTCATATATAGTATTTTAGAAAAAGTCTACTATATTCGTTAGATAATTTTGATATCCTGTTAGGAAAATCGGGCCTAAGATAATTTTAAAATAGTAATAGGGCAAACAAAGGCGAAAATAAACTTCTTAGACAGAAATTCATTTTCTCTTGAATTTTTGTCCATCGACATTCAATATGTACTCCTGAATTCAGGTTTTGTCTTTGGCGGTAACCGTTGGAATTGCGGCACCTGGATGGATAAAATGGGTAGTTCAAGTCATGCTGGAAACCGTGGGAAACCAGCCACTCCTAGAGATGGATCTGCAGTGGAGCTTGTTGGTCTGTCCAAAGCTGCGTTAACATGGTTATGGAACCTGAACCAGAAGGGCCTCTATCCCTACGATGGAGTACAAAGGAGCAACAAAGATAATACTGTCGTAACAAAGTGGACTTTTAAAATGTGGTCGGACAAAATCCAAGGTGGGTTGTTTTTATAATAGTTACATTACATACTACTTGAGAAGTGAGCCTTTTTGGGCGTTTTATACCGTGAGGCCCGTAGCGGTACAAATGTTTTTCTTTTGTTGAAACCGTTTCCCAACATTATGCGATTAGGCTACTTGACTGATTATTTCTCACAGTATTTGCCTTATATCGATTTCAATTTTTAGAAGCGCAAAGTGCATATATGTTTTGTGAAGCCACGTAGTCTGTAGTTTTCATCTCTGAGAAGAAAGTTAGTTGAATAGCAAGATCGCAACTGGATGATTATGTGGGTCTGCATGTGTATGAAATCAGTGGTATTTGCTGTGTGAGAAAATCATTACTGAATATTTTGCCAATGGAGTATATAATAATAATAATAATCGTCTTTATTGACCAAAACATGGTACATTTCATGGGGCGAGATTTAGCACCTGCTATTCCACCATCTAACCCTGTACAAAAGTGAAAAAACAAGTTATACAAAAACAAAAAAAAATGAAACTACAAAGATTAAGTCACAGAATAGTAGAACAATAATTAATGCCAATTTAGCTATAAAAAGAAGAAGAGATAAGAGGTTATGAAGAAACGTAAAAATAACTGATCAAAAATAAAAAAGTATGAAAATGAAAGAACTGCTTAAGCTAGCGGTTGTTTTGCCATTCTTGTAAATATCTTTTTAACTGAGTTTTAAAACTCCGGGAAGACTGGATAGTCTTCATATCCTGGTCTAAGCTATTGTAATATAAAATTGCATTGTATGTGCAGATCGTCTAAAAAGTGTTGTGCGATGTATTGGCATAGTTAAGGTGTTACGAACCTGAAGGTTATATCTATTAGCTGCGCCCGACGGGATATTTATATGTTGTCCCTGAAGACAGGTTATGTTCAAAGTTATAAATTAAGATTTTTTACGTTTTTTTGTGTATTTGAGACACGAGTCTAATGGAATTATCATCAACACATATTATTAGTACACCAATCCTCACTATGCACCTATGCATTGCCGTTCCCTTCTAGCTATAGTATACAACTTACATCTTAGCCCGCCAGTAATGCCATCTCAGAAGCAGATTTTACATCACATCAGAGCCAAACATTGATAACTGAAGCCTCATGACGTTTAGGCAACACGTATAATTACCAAACGAGTTCACAACGTGTCCATCAGCTTGTGCTAAGTAAACATCTTGTATACCTACATAATGTCACAAAAAAATTCCACAGAGTTAGTTTTCAAGATACGTAATACCCGTGCGGGTCTGTCTGGCAGGCACATCGCGCGGCGGCATCGTGACGGCAGCACCCCAAACGTGTGACCAATACTACAGTCTAGGTCTTATCTGGGCCTATAGAGTGAGGAGGTCATCCGGAGAAAACTACTTCTTAGCTCTAAACAAATAGCCTAGCGTTTTCCCATCTGCTGCCGCTATTGACGAGATGGGTTCGTGCCAGATCAAGTTCTCGGTGATCTGGACTCCGACCAGCCGAAATGAACGGCTCTTTTAGAACCCGCCCATCCATCGAAACCGGATGAGCGCTAGAACGCTTTTTGTTCATCAATGTAGTAGCTGATCGAACGCTTTCGTGATATCCAGAGCAACGACACCATAAGACTGGGGGGAGAGCGACAAAGGCACCAAATAAATTTGGGGGATGTTTTGGAGTTGAGGCGATGCAGGAAATACTGCTACGGACAAAAGCTACAACTCTCCCGTTCTTTCTCAGATTGGTGTGCACCTCGTAATTTGGGAATCAGAGATGATTAATCGGTGAAGACTCTGAGATTTTTGTCTCCGCCAAAAAAAGCATGGCGGGACGATTGGATTGCAGGTAGTGATGAACAGCATCAATGTTGCTGATAATACGGCATTAATTTCTTTATTGGAGAAGATAACCGAATGCTCCTTGTCTACCCCCTTCTTTTTGTGTGTATTTTAAATAGACCTAGAGTGGCCCGTTGGCGGACTTGTACCGCCACCCGGCAATAGGTACTGAGGTATTCCTTAACGCTTGAACAATCACTTGAAGGGTAAGAAGTTGTATACTAAATAGAACAACTGCTTCCGGAACAAGCATTTGCCACGGCTCCGCTCAGTAGGGGTGATATTCCATCCATGTTTATATAATTTTTGTCTTGAAAAGCCTAAGGGATCGTTTTGTGAAATATTGGACATTTATTAAGAAACACGCTCTATGGCTTCAACTAAATGTCGTCCATGTTGACTGATTATGTTCTGAATTTGAATAATTGCTAAACGTAAATAAAGGAGTATATTATCTTATAAAAGCCGACAACAAGTACATACATATTGGTTTCATGTTTTTATAAAATTTATTATTACGTTTAATTAATTTTTTGTTCCTAGATAATTTCGAAAAATACTTCTGGGTGAATACAACGCCTACTGGTGATGAAATTAGGGCAGACTTGATCAATAAACGAGGAATATACAAGGACTCTCACGGTTCTAGTCATGAATACACCGATTTCCAACTAAGGTGTAACTTCCCGATAGCTATGGTAGTGGTGAGTTGAACTTTCTATGTACATTATTTCTAACATCCTACAAATAGTATCTATGTATCAACATAAATATTTAAGTGTGTGTGATTTTTAATCAGCACTTAAAACACGCAAGCCAAATTATTCATTAGATCTCGCATTGTTTAGCCGCTTACAGATTGGGCTGCTTTTCTTTCACTTTATTTGGATCTAAATATATTCTTAGGACATTATTATAGCACATATATTTTATAGGCCCCAGAGTTGTTCAGCCATCAACAAGCGTGGATTGCTTTAAGCAAAGCCGAAAAATACCTCATTGGACCTTTGGGAATGAAAACCTTAGATCCTGACGATTGGGCTTACAGGGGCGATTACGACAATTCTTGCGACTCTACGGATGCTTCTATAGCAAACGGATTTAATTACCATCAAGGGCCTGTAAGTTTTGAGTATATATTTCAAATATTTTCTATATTTATCATTTCGCCCTGCAAATGCAAGTTGTTGACAGTTTGCATTTATTTATAGTGTATTAGTTAAAATAATAAGAAAAACTCGATATAACAGCGGTCACGACAAACTCGAAGATATCTCTCGGTAATTGAGCATAACATAAGTTGAAACTGATTAGGCTGCATTAAGGCTCTAGGGTGCCCCTTATATACGAGCCCTAACACAAAATAGTTTGGACATTATCTAATTTTATCTTAGAGTATTTTTTAAGCTAACAAAATATTTTTTTTTGTACGACATTGAAATATATTGAAATATATTGTTTGGACATCATATTTTCAAAATTCTTATCAGTAGCTCGTTACGTCCCCCTTTGCCTTAATAACAGCATTAATTCTCTCTTGCATAGTTTTAACATGGTTTTCGCAGTCTTCCGCCTTAAAAGAATCCATATATTTTATAATTTCACTCGTAAATCAGAAATGTTTCGTTGTGGATCATTTCTTAACTGCTGCTTCATTTTGTGCAATACAGTTTCGATAATATTTAAATCCGGACTACTGGAAGGCTAGTCAAGAACGGAAATATTATTATTCTGCAACCACTTTTTCGTGATTTTGACCGTATGACATGACGCCCCATCTTGTTGAAAAATAAAGTTTCTATCGCAGTGATAAAATTTGAATTGACACTAGCAAATTATTTTCAAGGATATTTTGATATTTAACTCCGCTTACAGTTTCGTCTATGAAGTGAAGTTTTACAACGCCAAAAGCAGGTACGCTTTCCCATACCATTAAACTTGAAGAAAAATTCACTTTCCTCTTTAGGCAGTTTTTATGAAACCCTTCTCATTTTTGTTTCTTATAACCCGGAATCGGTGGTCACCCACACAAACATCAAATTTAGATGCATCGCTTAAAATGATTTTTTTCCAGTCTTCTAAGTCATATGGCCCGTTCCTTAGCCCACGCGAATCGCCTTTTCTTTTGTTTTTCCGTAAGCAACGGCTATTCTTTTGCCTAAAGCAAAGATTTTACTGAATAAATATGCCATATGTCCCTTAAATGCAACCTACGTACCTTATAAAAATGTAAACCAGACTTTTTTTACAATATCTCCCACCGTAGACTTTGCGACATTTATTTGTTCAGCAATATCCTGAAAACGCTTTCCTTGATGAAACAATTTTATGATTAAAACTCCATTGCACCGTTTGTTGCTTTACCACGCGACATTTTAAAGCAAATTGATTCACAGAGTTTATTCTTAAACACTTTTTTGTCTTCTTGGCCTGCTATTATTTTCTTTTTAATATCGTGTCCGAATATTTATGTGTCAGCAAAATGTTGCGTTTTACACAAAATGTTGCGATGTTATCAATATTAGTTTGATTTTATATTTCATTATCATATTACTTGGAAACAGTTTTTTTTTAATATGATGTGCAAAGAATATATTTCATTGTCTTATAAAAGAAAAACAATTGTTTACCTTACAAAAATAAACAAAACTTTAGATAAAATTAGATGTCCGAACATTTAAGGGTTAGGGCCCGTACTGCTATGTAAAACATACAACCGTAAACCAATCATGACTTTTTAACTTTTATGTTTTTCGAGATACTATTATGAAACTTGGAACAATGGAGAAAGCGGTTTTTATTTTTTTTTTACTTTTTCTCTTGAAAAAACTGTGTTGATTTGAAAAATGCATTTTTGTAACACCTGCTGCTTAAAAACCAAGCAACTTATCAGAATAAGGTGAAAATTGCAAGTGACAACAATCCTTTATCCGGAACCTGCTTTTTATGTTGTCGCAATATCTTAAAAGATAACGTCAAAATCTTTGAATAACGAAACACGTTTTTGCCTAATTTTATTAGAGCCCTTAAATTATACTAAATGATATATAAAATGCAACACCGTCTAGGAGTTCTGTAATTTTGAGCATACTTTTACAAGTTAGGTCTTCTGATAAATAGAAAGTGATTAAAATATTAACTCGAAATTTCGAATAGCTGAGATATACCACCTTAATTTTAATAATGTATCGAAGCTCCTCTGTTCGCTACACATTCGTTAATTCGTCGCGGCATTGATTGGATTAGGTGATTGATGTCTTCCTGGTGTATTGTATCCTAAGCCATCTGAATTTGGTTTCGTATAGCCTCCAATGTGTTTGTGGAAGGTGCGGTGAATTTTGCAACCTTCTTCCCATCATGTCCCATACATGTTCGATGGGGAAAAGGTCGGGAGATCGAGGAGGCCACTGAAGCAGATTTACTCCGGAGCTGCTAAAAACTCTAAATTAACAAGTGCGACATGAGGTCGTGCATTGTCCTGCTGAAAAAGTGGAGCTTGCGATGTTTCCAAAAACGGAAGCAGATTTGGTTGTAAAACTTTGTGAATATAGCGCTGTGCAGTCATGCTACCTCGAATGAACACTAATCGTGACCTGCTTGCTCAGCCATCATGTGTGCCCAAACAGTGGACTAATCGCTGAACACGACTGAGTTCCATTCCATATTCCAATCGTTGCCGACGATGCTGTGGGGTCAGCGGTAGTACGAGGGCGGTATGATAACAGTCCAAGAGACCTTATTCGGCCATAACCGTTCACATTGTTATTGCCCTTCCGGCAGCATGAAACCACTGGTTCGCAACTGCCCTTGTTGTGGAAAATAGATCTATAAGTGCTATTTGCCTCAAATAACGATCCTGTCGCTCTGTAGTCTGTCTATGACGTCCAGTACCTCTAACTCGTCGATTTCGGTCTTCTTGGTACAACGCTCGACAACATCTCATTACAGTAGCCTCGTTTCGATTCACCCGATTAGCGATATCTCTAAAAGAAAATCCTGCTTCACGTAACCCGATTATCCGACCCCTCTCAAACTCGGAAAGTTGAGTGAAATTAGCGCGTCAGCCAACTCTAGGCAAGGTAATGCAATGAAACAACAATGAAATAAATGGAACCAACACAAACAAATCACTGAATATTAAGTAAACGTGTTCATATTGTTCGGATCCTGATATGACAAAAAAGCCTTTACAAAAAAAGTACGGCTCGGAATCCCTTCAACATTTTATCAGCGTAAACTTCCATGATAGCAAATATGCTTACAATCTCTTATCAAAATTCAATAAATAATTCTGTGTTGCATTTTATATGTCATTTAGTATATATTACAATATACTACTTTCCATGACGATGCGACACCACAGCGAGTACGTCCATGCAGTCATGCACATTGCTTTAGGCCATGCAGACAAATAGTATCGGTCAGGTTCAACTTTGGTGCGACGGTAGCGGTAACGATGAAATTCGAGCCGCTTGACGACTATTTGCACACACTTCCCCTCAATTCGCTCACCAAAGGGAGAGAGGGAACTAGGATCACGCCTCTTCAGTGGTTCGGATACTTGAGGTTCTGTGCCATAAGCGGAAACGCTATGCATTCCCTAGAGCCTTAACAATATTCAGCAGTTGAGTGAATGCTTTGTCGATGTAAAAAAGGGATAACATTTTTTCCATTTTCCTAGGAATGGGTGTGGCCAATCGGATTCTTTTTGAGAGCCAAGTTGATATTCGCATCTCAAAATAATGCTCTAAAGGAAACCATAGCTAGTACTAAACTGATCTTATCGAAGCACTTCGTGGAACTACAGACGTCTGATTGGCGAGGATTACCTGAACTTACAAACACCAATGGCTCCTACTGCAAGGACAGCGCGAAAACGCAGGCCTGGAGTATGTCATGTATATTAGAGGTTAGTTTCAATCTTATCAACATTAAGAATTTGAACATCCAAAGGTCGCAGCAAGTATCACTGCCATCTAACATAGGTGTATGTACCTATGCAAGCTGGTGGACAGTTGCTTTGCAACATGGAAAATTTTACCCAAAATCAAATCTCGACATTTTTGGAACGTCAAGAGATATCGAGTTGCGGTATACTTGGTTCTTGACCAACTCTTTGAGTTGTCAGATTCTCAATTTTTTATCTTGGAAATTTTTATATACATCGTTTTGATCTTTGAACTATCCTAGAAAAAAGTAATTTCTCAAAATTTTCGCTAGTTGGCTATAAATTATTTAGTTTTACATTTATCCCTAAAGAAATGGACTTTTTTGAAGTTTTTCTTCAGAGTGGGTATTTTTTCTGCATAATGTGGAATTTCTTGCCCCCGATAAAATATTGAAGCACTCATGGAAAGTTATTGCCTCCAGTGTCGTGCAGTAAAAATTTGCCTCTTTGACATTATGTAATTTAAACCGGTTTTATACATTTTACTATGCAATTAAACAACTCAATGAACAAATCCAAGTTACTACTCTTGATATAGGGGTGAATTCCAGTGGAGTAACACCAAAAGCATTTTTTGGTTTGGTAAGAAGTGCTAATAACTTAAAAAATTATTTTTCAAAATGCTATGATGCTGGCCAACATTGCTATTCATCTTTTGTCTGGAATTTTTTATCTTTCTCATTCAGCATTGGCGTACGCGTCTTTATTGGAAATGTTTTCCAGTAGGTAATAGGCTCTATTAAATTTTGAAACATCAAAGAATTTATTAATTCAGATTAACAATATGTAAATATGTAAATTATTTATTTATGGCAAAAACGAGCTTTTTACAAAACAGCAACAATTATTTTAAACAATATTGTTAGTACCCTGTAGGGCCACCCGCACATCGATCACAGCTTGGCATCTTCGTGGCATACTTTCCAGAAGGTTATTAATAAATTCTCGGGATATGTTTTGCCACTCTTTCTGAATGGCATCAGACAGCTCTTCCATTGTTTGCGGAGAATTTTGTCTTGATTGCACTAAACATTTTAGCCGAGACCACACATGCTCAATGAAGTTTAGGTCTGGAGACATTGATGACAGAGGCAATAATGTAACATTATTTTCTGCCAAAAAGTTTATAACCGTACGAGCTCTGTGCAGCCTGGCGTTATCATCGATGAAGACAAAATCCTCCCCAAAATCTTGTGCAAAAGTTACAACAATATTGTTTAAAATGTTGTCTCTATAAACTACAGCATTGTCTGTCTTGTTTGAAATAAAAAGTTTGGTTTTACCATTGTGCATAACCCTAGCCCAAACAGTAAAGCCACCTCCACCAAACGCCTCTTGTGGAGCCATGTTTTCTCCATCATATCGTTCCTCAGCTTACCTCCGGACAAGGACACTACCATCAAAGTGGTATAGGTTAAAGCGTATTTAATCCGAAATCATGCAAATTTGCCACTGCTGATACCAATTTAGCCGTTCCTGTGCCCATCGGTACCTGGAGAAACTGTGATTGTTCAAGATTCGGGTACACTTGGCGTGACGCCTTAGTCTGGAAGAAATGCTACTTTAAAAGAGTACCTAGCAAATTTTTTATAACTTTACATGTCTTAACAAATTAGAATTTGAAGTTCTTCTTAAAGTCCGATTGGACGCTATTATTCCACTGTGCCGCCATAAGTATTCATTCAAGGTTCTGAATGAAAGGGTCCTCCTTCGCCTTACTTTCTGCAATCAATGTCTTTTGGTCCGACCTCGTATTTTTTTTTTATCACCTCCTCCATGCAAGTAGGACGTCTACCCGGTATCCTAATATCTAGGCCTTAAACGGTATATTGAGGACCGATCAACATTATAAGTTGAAGCTACATCATTCACTAAACAACCTTCTCCCAATAATATTATATAATTATCCCGTTCTTTTTTAAAAAGACGAGGCATTTTTGATAAAATAAAATTATACAGGGCATTTTCACACCTACACTACTTATGAGAGGCTGGGTGTTAACGGTCATTTGTGATCGAGAATCTGTCCTTTTTGTCAAAAATGTTATTATTTGAGTATAATACGATAGAATAATGTTTTTTTGCAAATAAATATATTTGAATTTGAGTACTGTCAAGTCTACAGTCAATATTATTGTTAAAACTGGGAAACGTCCTATTTGCGTGGAGAGTATAATAAAAAAAATACGAGGTCGAGCCGAAATAAATTTATTGTGGGAAGTTAAAAATTCGATAGCTTAAGTTATAGACAACTTTTTAAAAATCTGAGATATCACTTTTTTAGGATAGTCCAACGAACAAAAAGATGCATAGAAAAATTTCCAATATCAGAAATTGAGAATCTAACATGCCCCAAACTTTGCTAAAAAAACCTGACTTCGTTTGCTCACCATGTATAAGTGGATAAATAAAAGGAATATACCGGTCGAACTCTGTACGTGTTCTCAAAGAGTTGGACAAGAACCTCCCAATACCGCAACTCGAGATTTGAATTTGTGTAAAAGTTTCCATGTTGCATAGCAACTGTCCACCAGGTTAGTTAGATCAAAAAATCTTTTCGATACTTCGACAAATCACAGTACAAATAACTTACCTTACCTTACCTCTTACCCAGAAACCACAGTACACTTTCCCGAAGGCTTTTGATGTACTTAATCCAAATCCAAATCTTTCAATTGGCTTTAGTTTCAGAGATATTCTGACTGAAAAGTGCAGAAATTGCCATTTTGCCTACATTTCAGGTTATGTAGCAAGGCGAATTATTTTTCCACAAAGATCATAAACATCATCTTAAAGTACAAGCCATGTTACTTTAAAATTTGAATTTAATTTTAATATCTAGATCGATTCTGCTTTTATAAAAGGTAATTTTTTATTTAAAAAAAGTGTGCAATCGAAAATAAAAACTATAAACTTGGCCCCGATTGGATAGGGGTGGGTTGTGGGCTTGTGGTTTGGGTGAGTTTTAGATATGTTACGGATTTAGTGTTGAGGATTTATGGCTTTTTTAGTTGGCCATCTTATTTCATATAAATACATTGACTTGTTATTAAATGTATGATGTGTTATTGCCTAAACCACAAATCAACGGCATTTGCTTGCGCAAGTCTATGGTTTTTTGGGAAAAAAAATATAATTCGCAATGCTACTTAACCTTAAATCTTTCAAAATTCAAAAATTGCTATTTCCACGGATTCGGATTCAGCGCCATACAAAACCTTCGGGAAAGTATACTTTGGTTTCTGGGTAAAAATGTTGTTGACTTGTGTAGTCTAAGGAATCATAATTACATTTTTTCCCCACCTTGACGTCTTTTTTTATCTATTGCAGGTCTTACACGATCTACAGAAGCTAGAAGCGCTACAACATTCTTCTGCTGAGGATGTCAACTGACTGAAACAAAATTACCTAACCCAAAAACGCCACTACCTAGACAAATCAATCATTTCATCGAAACTTACGAAACAACACAGCAAATCCTCTGAATCGAAAATGTTCAAAATCCTTCGCAGGCAGAAAATATACACTGAAACGGTTTTCTCATTGGAGGAAATAAAGGTTGCGTCTGATATACAAAGCAACGGAGATTATCAAAATCGAAATGATGATAATGTAATCCGCCTACGTCACGAACGGTTTTCTAGTTTTAGCGATTTGTATTTAAAAAATAACCAGACTATTCCGAGCTGTGTTATCGTTTTGAATGACTATACTCAAACTGATACAAATTTACTTCTATCCAAAGCCAAGTTTACATGCAGTACCAGCTTTGTACCTTTTTTCCAACAAATACCATGCAACAATATTCCAGGTATTTTACACGGCCTATCTAGATTTAGCCCCAAAAAGTTAGAGTGCGAAAGGTGTTCGCCTATCGAACATTATCCTGTTTTTTCAAACTCATCGAAACAGGATTGCCAGAAAAAACATTCATTGGGATATCTCGCTTGTAGCATGCGCTCTTCTAACAAAATCAAAAGAAAAACGGCTGATATAGAGGAAATTATTGCAGTGGTAGAGACCGACAATGCAATAGTAGAAGAAACTAGTGATGAAGTAGAACCTTCCTCCTCTGAAAAGGAAGTATTGTTATTGAATCCTCTTCTACTAGAGATGAGGTCACGAAGAACCAAACAGAGGATAAGCGATTCTGAACATAAAAAGATTGCCAGGATTACCATACTGTATATTTTGGCATTTTTTGCTTTGGCCCTCGTGACCTTTTTCGTGACTTATTTGGCTTGATGCAAGTACAAATACAAAGCAAGGGCTCGATGAATAGACCTAAAATATGAAAATCTAAACACTAGTCAAGAAAATCAAACTACAATTCGTATCTATTACTTAAAGCATACCATTCACTCTGTGAAACTGCCAACAAGCACATTGAATCAGCGTTGTTGACCGTAATTTGTAGCTAAGATTTAAAAATATTGATCATCTCGATAGTTTTGATGAGAAATACTCGTATATTTTCAAACCAAAGACAAAATGTTTTCGTACTTGTTTTTTAGCAAGATTGTCACGAATGCTATATCCTTATCTATATTTTTTATGTCTATTCCTTTTTTATCTTTCTGATACTAATCAAATTGCTATATTATTGTTATGAGCACAGTGATAAAATATTATAGTGATATTATTCTCTCTTTTAATGTCGAATCTAATCAAAATATTTATGCAAGTTTTAACATTGTAATTAAAATCCTTTAATATAATACTCGTTGATACATTTGATTAAACACTATTATTTTCCAGCCAACACACATTTATTTTATGATCAGTGCATCGTTGCATGCGAACTGGAGTTCTATAACAATGATTACTCCCAATTTGTAGTAATAGCCAATAATACTCGTATACACACAGTGCTTCAAAAACCGAAAAACTTGGTCAAAAGTTCAGAATATTTTTTTCGTTTTCGGCTCCAGATTCTGTTCACAGTTAGAAGGATGCCCAATTCATCTTTTGATAACAAGTCTGTCGCATTGCAGGTCAAAATAACGAGCAGTAGCAAAAAAGTGTACATTGTATTACTCGCCAACTGACATATGATACGATATGACAACAATATGTAGTTGATAAATTTCTCCGTAATTCATAGTGAATTGGTGAATTAAAAAAGATTAGATTCCTCTCTATTTCGAATAGTAGCAGGTTTATCTTAAGGCCGTCTGCCACGATACGAAATATTGTGCTAAATTTAGTAACAAATTTTGTGAGAAAATTTGTTACTGAATGACACGTAAAAGACATTTTTGTTCTAAATTTCGTACGAAATCATGCGCAGTTGGTAGAAAAAAACTAACTGTCAACTTCTAACTGCCATTTATCATGTCAAGGTCATTTTAACCACACTTTCCTTCGCTATTGATACTTTATTCCTTTATTTTTAAACGGATAGAAAATTGTAAAAAATGGAGCGATCCCGTAATACGCAACCGTAAAGATTATGTGGTCCATGTGCTGAATAAAGAACTTCTAGTGCAGGATCCACTGGCCTATAAGCCTACTTGATTCTTAAGTTATTCTGATTTTATCCAACGCAGCTTTTTTGTCTTTTCTGTTTTTATAGGCCTTACTTTTTACAGCACATAAACAATCATATCTCTCATACTCGTTTAGTAATATGTCACACTGCTCTTTTGATCATGACATCTCTAGAACAGCATAAGTAGTTTCGCGAAACTGATGAACACGACTGATAACATCAACTGATGAAAGTGTTTAAGGTTATATCAGCCATTGTACTGCTCCAAATGCGAAGTAGTCGTCCGCGCACTTTTAGTATGATATTATTTAGAACAGTTTCTACAAAATTTAGCACCAAATTTGTTCATACAAAATTAATGTACTAAATGCTGTCTATCCTTAATTTTATACGAAATTTACCACAAAATTTTGTACGAAATTTCGTTTAAGAAATATGTGAGTTTTGGCTGTAACTGACTGCACCTTTGGTAATTGTGCGACATCGTACTACAACTGGCAAGGTAGGGATCGATACCCCCGTACTATTTGATGAATGAGTTAAGTTAGCAAGCTAAAATTAGGGTAGATGAAATTAATGCATGAAAACTATACCGGGTGATAATGAAAATTGGAAACACGCTGTATTTTTTTGGCAAATAAAGATATCGCTCCAAGATTGTAACGTGTCTAGTTAGTCGTAAGAGGCATTTCTGGAAAGTTGAATGGGTTATCTCTCTCTTCCGATTTAAGGGGAAATTACCTTGACTTTCGTTTTTCAAATGGAAATCTGTATATTTTCTTCCATAATCGTACTCGATGTGACACAAGCGATTTTTTTATTTTAAAATGGCGGCGCTATAAGGGATTTGTAAATAACCTAAAACCGGCCATATTGCTTACAAGACAAACAATATTTTAATCTGTCAAGGTGGCAATGTGATCAAAATAAAAAATGTAATTTCAGGCAAAGTGATAAAAATGTTTTTATTTTATATTTTATAATAACAGGCAGGTTACTACAAACTGAAATTATTAATATTATCCTCTTCTACCGTATTCTACGTATTTTTCCCAACTATTCTAGTTATAAAAACATTATTACAAAATTAATAACTAAAAACTAGTAAACATTTATATTAAAGCTAATAGAGTTCAATGCGTCGTTCATTATTTTCGTAGCATTTTATGTTTAAAAAATCTCAGATAAGGTGTTAATTGCTGCCGTTATTCGGTGATCTAAATCTAACAGATTTATAAGAACCGTGACATAAACCTTCTGCTTCAAGTAGCCCCAAATGAAAAAGTCTAAAATAGTTAAGTCGGGTGATCCTGCGGGCCACCTGATAGAACCGTTTGTTCATAGCCGACGATTCCCGAATTCATTCGTTAAATATCTTGTGACTTCCCTGCTGTTGAACTACAATCCCTATTGTCAGCCATCAAGAAAATCTTCTATTTTATTTTGAAAAAAGTTAGATAATCTCCCTCATTTAAGGGTTCATAAAAAATATAGGGCTAACTATGCGGGTTCCCAGAACTCCGAGCCAGACGTTCACTCCAAAACGGTCCTGAAAGGTCCCTTCTCTTAGCAAACGTGGATTTTCGGTTGCCCAGTCACGTGTATTATTTTTATTAAATAACCCAAGATTTGTGAAACACAACTGGTAGTTTCTATGAAATAGTTGAAATTTCAATTTGCTACTAAACCGACAGTAGCTTGCAGAATATCATTGGAACTGCGTTTTCATTTAGAGTCAATAATAAAAAAAATCTACTTTTTGTTTTGTAATGTTTGTTATGGATGTTAATTAACAAATTATTTTATGCAGCTGTCATTTGACAACAAAAGTAAAACTTGTTCTACATCATTGAATAGAGAACTTTACGTAGAATAAGATTTCTGAAAAATGTATACAGGGTCCTATTCAAAATCTGTCAGAAATCCTGTGTTGAAGATGTGGATTCCTGATGTTTGTTTCAAATAAGTATACTAACATGAAAAACACATAATACAAGCTTTCATTTATTTAGCCCGTTTTAATAGACATTTGTTGATCACGCCACCTTGACAGTTTAAAATATGTTTTTGTCTCGTAAGCAATATGGCGGACTATTCACAAATTCCTTTATAGCGCCGCCATTTTAAAAAGAAAATGTCACTTGTGATATCGATAGAAAGGGAATTTTACATAGAGTACGATTATGGAAGAAAATATACAGGTTTCTATTTGAAAAACGAAAGTCAGTGTCACTTCCGGTTAAATCGGAAGGGAGAGGTAACCCATTCAACTTTCCAGAAATGTCTCTTAATGTCTAACTAAACATGTCCCAAATCTTGGAGCGATATCTTTATTTGCTCTTGTGGGCAATGTATTTTAAATAATGTCAGTAACAAAACACTTCATTAAACGAATAAACTACATAAACTTTATTTAGGCGACCATAAAAGCATCAAGATGTACACCGCAACCTCCTTTCACATTTTTTTTCTAACCTGCCAACTCTCAACAACCAAACGTCAGTGACCAATGTCGTATGGTGTAAATTTGACAGTTAGAAATTCCAAGATGACAACTAGACGCCATCTTAGAACATTTTTTTCAGGGAATAAGTGGAGATGTAAAATGCTATGGGACCTGATAACCTTTTTAAATTGAATGCTCCATATTTGATTACATTTCCAGGATAGGTCTTTCCAATAGATATGTAATTCAATGTTCAAAAAACGCTCCACAGTCTGTCAGTTCTCCATTTTTTGAAAGATAGCCAATTTATTTTCTGTTTTATAGTATGCACAACTAGCGTCACTTAAAAACCAACCAACCAACCGCCATCTTGGAGTCTCATACTGCAACTTTTACGCCAAAATATAGTATTATTGCATTAATTCACCCAGAATTTCAGCTTGTCACTTGATCCGTTCAAATAAATCAAAAAATCAAATTCAAGCGAATAACCAAATGAAAATGGTATTTACCATTTTGGATTGGTATTTACCGATCCGATCAAGCGAGTGTGGTTATCAGTTTTGTTATAAGATCCGTGACGTTATGAATCAGAATGTCATAGCTATCACCGCAAAATTGTGGTATTTAGCCAACTCGTGAGTAGTTTTATATTTCTGGTTATTATTTGAAATGTGATAAGTCAGAATTTTGCTGGGTATTGGATATTTTTGTTGTACTTCAGCTTCATTTTTGGGAAACTCGATACAGGTTGACTTCAGTTGTAGCATAAAGTAGGGCACCTTATTAGTTATACTCATTATTGTTGTTGAGGACACTTTAATTCCTATGCTTAACAAAGTATCCTGTGTAGCCATATACCACAAGAGTATTGAAATATGGCCATATAAACTCACACTGGATAATCTCAACCTGTATACGGTTTTGCTAATATTTTTTTTCATCTCTTTTTCCTATCATTTCTGCTAAATCAATAAATGTTTTCTTTTACATGCGGAAAAGTTTAGAGAATTGAAAGTTATCATAGCTACAAAGCCATGGTTCCATCATTAAGAATTGTTTTCTGAAAAAAAAACATTTCTCCCATTAATATTATGAAAAGTTTCTTTTTTAAACTTTCCATACACTGCTGCAGATGAAAAAGCACCAATTATTAAGTGATAACAAAAATAATCAGAAATTATATACGCGCCTTTCTGAAATAAACAACTTGCAACAAAACCGCGGCTAGCACCAACGCGTTCAAGCGATTCGAGTAACCGACGTCATCAACTCATGTGTCATCTTATTATAACCGCGGTAAATAACACGCAAATTTTGGTTATTCGCTTGGATTTGATTATGATCAATCAAAGAATGTTTGCAAACATGTCCGCCATTTTGAAGCCGTCATTTTGATTTTCGAAAAATAGATATCATATTTGTTATCAGCGACCTCGAATATATGTATATACAAGGTCTGTCGCAAAGTAAACAGCACAAAGAACAAACATTTTTTCCGGAAAATCGAATTTATTTTATTCCAAATACCGTGCAACCTCTTTAATCCGAACACACGTTAATCCGAGCCTACGTTAATCCGAACGACTAAATTACAAGGTGATAGTCCGAACGCTACCTCGGTAATCCGAACACTGCCGCAGACAGACAGGAAAATTCCTGTTGGTGCTTGACTTGAAATCAAACGGCACTCGGTCATATCCATTGTATTGTTCCGTACGGTTCGGTTAATTTGTTTCGCATAGCATTTGTTAAGCAGCAGATTGTTTCGCATATTAAAAATGCAAAAAAAAAACACAA